CCAGGCCCAGGGCTGGAGCTCTCAAGAGCTCAAGCTGCCTTGCTGGTAGGTTTGGGGTAGTCATGCCCCTGTCGTCAGAGATCTGATTCATCGCCCCAGAGACCAGGTTCAGGGGCAGAGTTAGCGCCTGGTCAACCGCCACCTCCCTGACTGTTCAATGCAACCAGGTTTGGGCCTGAGGTTCTGCTCGTGGGGACCCCCCTGCCCTCCCTGCGCCCCCCGCCCCCCCCCCCCCCCCCCCGCCGCCATGTTCCCGCAAAAGCTTCTTCACAAAACAGGCAGGAGGCTGGGTGTCATTTCCTGCCTCCTGACAAATTAGCACCTGGCCCAGCGAAGGCCCCTCGCCTTTTAAAATACGTGTAGAAACCCTGGCGGATGACAGGGGGCCAGGGAGGTGGTTGGTCACTGCTGGGCCCGGCGGAGTGGCCAGGTGCCGTCTCCCACCCCCATCCTCCCGGAGGAGGACTCTGGACGGGGAGCGGGGTTTCACTATTTTCTTCTTTCTTTTCATTTTTATTCTTATGGTAGAGGTGACGCACAGAGGGTTACCGTTCCGTAAGTCAGGTAGAGTCCATTTCCTTTTGGGCAATGTCACCCCTTCCTTCACCCTCTCCCAGAATAGACTGGACTTTTTCAATCCCTAGGGGACTGTTCAGATGGCCCACGGCTTGCCCGCTCCAGCTATGTGTGCGACAGACAGTTGGGGCAATTCCAGGCGTCTTGGCCTCTTGACTCTACATTACATTTCTACTTGGAAGGATTTCAAATGACAGGTCCCCAAGGGGCCAGCGCCAGCGCCAGAGGGAGAAGCAGCCCCTCCTCGGGGCCGGCCCTGCGCACAGCCCCTCCTCAGGGGGCCGGCCACCCGCACAGCCCCCTCCTCAGGGCCGGCTGCGCGCACAGCCCCTCCTCGGGGGCCAGCCACCCACACAGCCCCCTCCTCGGGGGCCAGCCCTGCGCACAGCCCCTCCTCGGGGGCCAGCCACCCACACAGCCCCCTCCTCAGGGCCGGCTGCGTACACAGCCCCTCCTCGGGGGCTGGCCGCGCGCATGAGACCCCGACACACAGGTCTGGAGCAGAGCTTGTGTGGGTGAACAGAATACCTTAATTTTTAAGGTATTTCTCGGTTGTTTCTCTGGGCTACTGCTTTTGTGTCCTGCTTAAGAAAACATTTGCTCTACCCAATGACTTCTGCTTTCCGCCAGACTTTTTGTCAAGCTGTCCAACTCCATGAAGTTAATGTTTTTAGTGACTGAGTTAGGACTGAAAAATTAATGTTTTTCCATGTGAATACCCCATGGGCCCAGCACCATTTTATTTAGAAGAGCGTTCCTTCCCCATGGTTTATGCGTATCATTTGATCTGGGTTGGTCCATTGGCGTGAATCTGCCCTTCCCTGTGGATGGGAGCTGCTGGCAATCTTTCCAACTGAACGTCTTCTTTTGCTCAAATCTTCACATCCTCTTAATTGCATTTTTTTGGTTTAGTATATGAGCACATGTATAAATACCCAATAATAGAGATGATGTGTGGTATGCATGCTCATCGTATGTATGTGTATATATGTATATAGTTCAGCATGCTATTTAGTGCCATCATGAGTCAGCTGTACATATTTGTATGTTCACATGTGCTTTGTGGTATACAATGTGTCTTTAGCTCACCATGCCCAGGGGTTGCCATTCTATCCATCAGGTGGTGAGTATATTTCTTTTTTGTTCAATGTCACCTCTTCCTTCATGTTCCCCTAGTGTTCCCTCCTGTCCCCACCTACAAGTCACATAGTCCATTTTCCACATAGTGTCTGCTGAGTGCCTGCATCTATCCGCCCTTCCTCCCTCCATTTCTGTTTCTCCTCTCTGCCCCCCCTAAAAAGACAAAAACAACCCACAAGCAAAAACAAACACCACCACTGCCAAAAACCCTAATGTTTCTATTTCCTGGAATTCATTTAGATAAACAATATTTTAAGTGTTCAGAGGAGTTACACCTTTGGGCTTTTCCCCTTGAGCATCTTCCTTTGGTCTGACTTTGTGTGTGAACGCTAGAGTCCTGTATAGGTAATCATATCCAGTTGTATTTTATCTTTTTTTTTTTTTTTTTGGGTCCGGTCGTGGGGCCTGAACTCTGGGCCTGGCGCTGTCCCTCAGCTCTTCAGCTCAAGGCTAGCGCTCTACCACTTGAGCCACAGCGCCACTTCCGGCTTTTTTCTTTTTGTGTATGTGGTGCAGAGGAATCGAACCCAGGGCCTCAGGCATGCGAGGCAAGCGCTCTACCACTGAGCCACCTTCCCAGCCCCATCTTATTTAGTTACATATTGTCTCATAGTTGCTTCTGAGCTACAATGGCAGACCAGCTCATGCCTGGGATCCTAGCTACTTGGGAGGTGAGATCTGAGGATTGTATGAATCCAGCCCTGGGAGAAAAATCCCCATGAGACTCTTATGTCCAGTTAACCACCAGAAAACCAGAAGTGGAGCTGTAGCTCGAGAGCTCAGAGGCAGTACCCAGGCCCTAAGTTCAAGCCCCATGACTGACAGAAAAAGAAAGAAACCATATGGCTGGTGAAGTCTGAGGTATTTCCTCCATGGTCTTTTTCAACGAGAGTTTTCTGGTGCTTTCTTTCTATGGCATGGGTCATTGAAAGGAGAGAGCAGGAAGCTGCAGCCGGGTGCCCAGGACCGTCACAGCAGTGAAGGCCTGGGGTGGTGGCCCTAGGTCCTCCGCTCCGTGAGGTGCAGCCTTCTCAGATTGTGTAAGGACATTCCGATGGTTGCACAAGGGCAAAATCAGGTCCTGCTGTGACTCAGGGTAGGTTCCTGTCCCAAAGCCAGTGCACGACCCACCTGTTCGCCTTTGCCCACGCCCCAGGGGCATACACACCAGCGGATCTGCGGGAGGGACTAGCCAAGCCCCTTTCAGTGTTTCTTGAGGGCGTTGACTCCTCAGTCTTCGTTGGCTTGGGACAGCTCTGTTTTGCTTCATTTTGAAGGACAGTTCTCTGGGCACCAAACCCTTGGCTAATATATTTTTTCTTTCATTTCTGTAAACACTTGCTCTCATGCTTTCCCAGTTCCAGACTCCATTGAGAAGCTGAGTGTTTGCTCTCAGGGCCTTTGTAGGGGATATGTCTCTCTCTTGAGCATTTTCACTGCGATCTCTTCTGGCTTCCAGCCCAGGGTCTGCCGTTGGATCTGTGGTTGTTTTCAGCCATTGCTTCTTTTTCTGCCTCTTTCTCTTCACCTGAATGTTGCTACACTCAGCTCTGCAGCTCCACTCAGCTCATATTTCTTCAATCTTTCCTCCGCTTGATCTTCAACTGGTGAATTTCTATGTGCACAGTCTTCCTCTACCCATCAAATCTGCAGCAGAGTTCCTGAGGTAGATTCCCAACCCCATAATTTCCTCCTGACTTTTAAGAATTTCTATTAATTTTCTCATATCTATAATCCTAGCAATTCAGAAAGCTGAGATCTGAGGATACTGAGGTTCAAAGCCAGGCTGAGCAGGAAAGTCCGTGAGACTTTGATTTCCAATTAACCATCAAAACATAGCCAGAAGTGGAGCTATGGCTTAAGTCATGGAGTCTCACCTTGACCAAAAAAGTTCAGGCTCAGAGACAGTGCCCAGGCCCTATGCTCAAGCCCCAGAAATCTCTCTCTCTCTCTCTCTCTCTCTCTCTCTCTCTCACACACACACACACACACACACACACACACACGCATGTGCATGCACATCATGCCGTCACACATGTATACCACCCCACACATGCGCTTACACTCACACACACACACACACACACACACACACACACTTCTATTTCTTTATGAGATCTCTTCATTGAACATTATCATCAGGGATTTGTTTTTGTTTTTATGCCACTCCTAGTGCTCTGCCACTTGAACTACAGGTCTGCTTCTGGCATTTTGCTGGTTAATTGGAGGTAAGAGTCTTGTGGGCCTTCCTTCCTGGGCTGATTCTGAGCCTTGACCCTCAGACCTCAGCCTCCAGAGTAGCTCGGATTATAGGCGTGAGCCACTGATGACTGGCTTTAGTTGTATGAACTCATTGTTTTGGTGGTGTTGGGATCAAACCCTGGGCCTTGCACGTGATAGACAGGGCTCTACCATGAGCTGTGCTCTCCCCTCGGATGCTGTGACGGGGTCTCCCTGTGTAGCTCTGGCCTGCAGCTGCCGTCCCCCCGCCTCAGCCTCCCACGTGCAGAGCTGGCCTGCGAGCACCACCATAGCTTGGAACAGCTTTGGAGTCTGGGTTACGAGCACCGTCTGTGGGCATTAGAGGCAGATTTGACCCATGCTTTGCTCCTCAAAGTAGGTCGTGCCTTATTGTTTCTTTGTGTGATCTGTAACTTTCGGGTGATCGCTCGACATTTAAGAGAATGGGTGGGGCTTGAGTTTGCCCTCAACTATGGCCACCATTTGTGTGTTTCTTTTTTCCTTCCTTCCTCCCTTCCTTCCTTCCTTCCTTCCTTCCTCCCTTCCTCCCTCTCTCCCTCCCTCCCTCCTTCTCTCTCTCTCTCTCTCTCTCTCTTTTCTCTCTCTCTCTCTCTTTCTTTTTGTTGGTTGTGGGACTTGAACTCTGGGCCTGGGCGCCGTCCCTTAGCTCTTCAGCTCAAGGAGAGCGCTCTACCACTTCAGCCACAGCGCCACTTCTGGTTTTCTGGTGGCTTATTGGAGATAATAAAAATAAAAAGTCTCACGGACTTTCCTGCCCGGGCTGGCTTTGAACCGTGATTCTCAGATCTCAGCCTCCTGAGTAGCTAGGATGACAGGCATGAGCCACTGGCGCCCGGTCTATTTGTGTTTCTTTCTGAAGTTTTGGACTAGCCTGTGAAGTCCCGATGTCTGACTCTGTGTGCTGCATGCCTGGCCCTCCCAGCGGCTGTGCACCTTCCAGCAAGCCAGTGTCTGCCCCGAGTCCTTCCTCCGCCCGCCCGCATCCCTGAGTCTCACTAACTGCTTCCCCCTCTCTTCCGCAGTGTCTGACCCTCAGCTGCAGCCGGGGGGAGCCCAGGCCGAGAGCGCGGAGGAGCACTCTGTAAGTGGGGCGGGGAGCAGGCCGCCCGGCCCGGCCCAGCCCCCAGCCTTCGTGGCCTGAGACCTCCTTCTTTCCCGCCAGGCCACCCGAGGTCCTGCGGAGGAGATCATCCGGCCACGGCCACAGGGGTCCTCACCTGTCTATGAGTTCCCGGCCGAGGGGGCTGGCTTTGGGGTCCAGGTAAGGTTCTGGCACAGCTTGCCAGGGAAGGTGTAGTATGGGTCGGGGGGAGTGTGGGTGTGGGCAGGACAGGGGCAGGTGTGGGAGCAGAGCCCTTGTCCCTGGGTGGGTTGCCAGGGGAGCGCTGGTCTGCAAAGCCTTATTTTTATGATTGAAGTTCCGTCCTCTCCACACTCCGCCCCCTGTGGGAAAGCGGGAGCCCAAGATCTGTCTCTCCTGGGGAGCCCCAAGTCTGGGCTCCTTTGCACAGGCCGCCCTGGGGCCCTGGGGCTTCTGTCTGCTGCCCCTCTGCTCTCCGTGGGGCAACTGTAACCTTCAGCCCTGTGACCGCAGGAGGGCGCCCGGGGCAGGCGCCGCTCCGGGAGGCGGAGGTCCTGGTGGAAGCGGCTCTCGGGCGATTCGCAGGACTCCAGCGTGAGTCACACACAGGTACCTGGGAGGAGGTGGGAAGTGGAGGGAGGAGGTCACCCTCCCCTGGGGCTCGGCCCTCCCAGGGCCTCCAGCCATTTGTAGGCCCATGGGGAGCCAGACTCCTGCTCTCAAGTGCTACAGGCAGGGGTGGGGAAGGAGGAGGTCCACCTGAGTCCCCTCCTCTGTCCCAGGGAGCAGAATCCCCAGCCTCGGCAGCCCATCCCCCGCAGCCATGTGTAGGGTGTCTGGCACACCGTCACCACACCCCGTGTGCTTCTGTCCCAGGCCATGCAGGAGGCAGCGGAGGTGACGCTGAAGACGGAGGTGGAGGCAGGAGCCAGTGGCTACAGTGTCACCGGTGGCGGAGCCCAGGGGATCTTTGTCAAGCAAGTGCTGAAGGATTCCTCGGCCGCCAAGCTCTTCAGCCTGAGAGCAGGTGCCCAGCCACCCCATGCCCAGGGTCTCCGTCATCAGCAGAGCGGGGGGCCCTGGATGCTCCCGCGGAGCCCAGGTGGCCTCACAGCCTCTCCATCCCCTTCGGGCTGAGGCCACACACGCATTTCACCCCTACATTTCCCCTGTGCGCTCAGGAGCTGGGGCTGGGGCTGGGCACGAGCAGTGGGCTTCCCTGGCCATGCCCAGCCCGCCACACGTCAGAGTGGACGTGGCGGACTGAGGCCGCCCCCCTTCTCTCCTAGGTGATCAGCTGCTCAGTGCAACCATATTCTTCGACGACATTAAATATGAAGATGCTCTCAAAATTCTACAGTACTCAGAGCCATACAAGGTTCAGTTCAACCTCAGACGGAAACTCCCTGCTCGTGAGGAAGAGGAGTGCGCTGTCCATGACCCCCAGCTAGGCTGGAAGGGCCAGCAGGTGAGGTCCCCTTCTCAGCAGCCGCCTGCGGCTGCCGTGGCCAGCACTGTCACCGTGGCCTGCGTCCAGAGCCTTGGGGTCCCGTGCCTAACCAGCTGTTCCTCTCTGTGGTTCAGGACAAGGAGGCTGCCGACGGGTGCACAGAGACCCCCACGAAGACCCTGGAGGCAGACGGAGACCGAGAGCGACTCATCGCCAAGCCGAGCGGAGGGCGGGGTAGGAGGTCGCAGGACAGGCTCTCTTGGCCCAAATTTCAAGTGATCAGGAGCCGCCGGGCACCAGGACCTCGGCGCTCACACAGCTCCTCAGAGGCCTACGAACGCAGGGATTCGCGCACCGAGTCCCCAACTAGCACTGACACGGAGGCCCTGGGCGGGATGCCAGCAGGCAGCCGGAGGAAGAGGTTCCCCCTACACCTGCGGCTGAGGAGGAGCTCCGCACAGGGCCAGGCGGGCAGGCCAGCCCAGGGGCAGGGTCATGCAGGGGCACTGCAGCAGCCGGAGCCTGGGGATGGTGAGCTGCAGGATGCAGAGAGCGCGGCGGGCGGCAGGCGGGAGAGCAGGATGCAGGCGCCGGAGGCCCCGCGCGCTCCGACCACAAACCTGCCCATGGAGTCAAGCCTTGTCGTGGGTGGAGAGGAGGAGCCCTGGATCGGGGAAGGTAGGGCAGCTGGAAGATGGCGGGAGACTCCACGGGGGAAGACGCAGGAGGACGCAGAGACACGCCGGGAACTGGGGGCCCGCCCAGCCCTGGGGAGGCGCGGGGAGGACGGCCTGGAAATGAGGGTCAGCAGACCGTCCCTGCAAGACGACACGGAGGAGGCGGACGCACGCGGACAACCTCCAGAAACCCAGGTCAGAATACGCCCTCTACAGACACCAAAATTTGGATTTTCCAAAGAAAAAGGACCACAGACAGAAAGAGGCTCTTCTGCTCACGAGGAACGCCGCGCAGAGCAGAGGTCTTGTGGAGAGGGGGCCACATTGCCCAAAGGGAGCGAAGGCTGGAGGCCCGCGGGCCTCCGTGCAGATCAGCCTGGACAGGAGGAAGGGATCACGCACGGAGAACCAGAGACACGAGGCCCGGGAGACATGGAGGAGGCAGGGAACGGCAAGTACCAAAGTCCAGGGAGGACGAAGATGCCAAGGCTCAAGATGCCCTCCTTCTCATGGTCTCCCACAAAACAGGCAGGAGCCGGCTACCACAAGCAAATCCAAGAAAAAGAAAGGCAGCCAGGAGAAAGGCATGAGGGCGAACAGGTAGCGATGAAATTAGACATAAAAGACAAGGAGGCCGACGTGGAAGACGGAGGCAAACTAAAAACTGACAGAATACAAAGGCAAAGGGAACAAACTATGACCCTAACAGAAGAAAACGACATTTGTAACACAAGTGAAGGGAACAGGATGACCATGGGGGTGAACATCCAGGCCGCCGGTGCCAAGCTGGATGGGGACCTGACCCCAGGGCACAAGGACATGGCCGCCAAAGACAGCAAGCTCAAAACGCCCAAGTTCAAGATGCCGTCCTTCAGTGGGTCAGGGCCGGACAGGCCTCTGGAGGATGTGCTCGAGATGTCCACGCCCAAGATGCAGGGTGACTTGGACCTTCCCCCTGTCCATAGGGACCTGAAGACCCCTGAAGTCAGCATTCAGCTGCCCTCTGACAAAGAGCAGGCCAGGCTGGACCAGATGGCCATGAGACTGCCCGAGGGACAGATTCTCGAGGGAGAGCTGGTAGGACACCCTACTGGAGCTGGCCTCAAGGGTCACCTGCCCAAGGTGCAGATGCCCAGCCTGAGGATGCCCAAAGTGGACTTCAAGGGTCCCAAAGTGGACATCAAGGCCCCCAAGCTAGAGGCGAAGGGCCTCAAGGCTGAAGCAGACACCCCTGATCTAGAGATGTCTCTGCCCAGTGTAGAGGTGGACCTCCAGACCCCCAGTGCCACCCTGGTAGGGGACCTGGCCCTCAGAGACAAGGACATGTCCACCAAAGACAGCAAGTTCAAAATGCCCAAGTTCAAGATGCCGTCCTTTGGCTTGTCGGCACCCAGCAAGCCCTCAGGGGCTGCGATAGAGGTGTCAACACCCAAGCAGGGCAAAGGCCTGCCATCTGTCCATGGGGACCTGAAGACCCCTGAGGTCAGTGTTCAGCTGCCCTCTGCTGAAATGGAGGCCAAACTGGACCAGGTGGACGTGAGGATATCAGAGAGCCAGCTGTCAAAGGGAGAGCTGGCAGGCCAGTCTACTGGAGCTGACCTCAAGGGTCACCTACCCACCCTGAAGATTCCCAAAGTGGACCTCAAGGGCCCCCAAGTGGACATCAAAGGCCCCAAGCTGGACATGAAGGGACCCAAGGCTGAGCCAGGCACCCCTGACCTAGAGGTAGCTGTGCCCAGCATGGAGGTGGACATCATGGCCTCTGGTGCCAAGCTGGATGGGGACCTGACCCTGAGGGACAAGGACATGTCCACCAAAGACAGCAAACTCAAAATGCCCAAGTTCAAGATGCCGTCCTTCGGCGTGTCGGTGCCCAGCAAGCCCTCAGGGGGCTCTATAGAGCTATCCACACCCAAGGTGAAGGGTGAAGGCCTGCCATCCATCCATGCGGACCTGAAGACCCCTGAGGTCAGTGTTCAGCTGCCCTCTTCCAATATTGACTCCAAGCTGGACCAGGTGGCCCTGAGGCTCCCGGAGGACCAAATGCCTGAGGAAGATCTGGCGGGCGAGCCAACTGGAGCTGGCCTCAGCATCCACCTGCCAAAGGTACAGATGCCCAGCCTGAAGATGCCCAAAGTGGCCCTCAAGGGCCCCCAGGTGGACATCAAGGACAGCACGATGGACATGAAGGGCTCCAAGGCTGAAGCAGGCACCGCTGATCTAGAGGTAGCTCTGCCCAGCGTGGAGGTGGACATCCAGACCCCCAGTGCCAAGCTGGAAGGGGACCTAGCCCTCAAAGACCAGGATGTGTCCACCAAAGACAGCAAATTCAAAATGCCCAAGTTCAAGATGCCGTCCTTCGGTACGTCGATGCCCAGCAAGCCCTCAGAGGGCGCGGTGGAGGTGTCAGTGCCCAAGGTGCAGGGTGACGTGGACCTGCCCTCTGTCCACAGGGACCTGAAGACCCCTGAGGTCAGAGTTCAACTTCCCTCTGCTGAAATTGAGGACAAGCTGGACCAGGTGTCCGTGACATTGCCCAAGGGCCAACTGCCTGAGGGAGACCTGGCAGGCCAGCCTCCTGGAGCTGGCCTCAGCATCCACCTGCCCACCGTACAGATGCCCAGCCTGAAGATGCCCAAAGTGTCCCTCAAGGGCCCCCAGATGGACATGAAGGGCCCCAAGGCTGAAGCAGGCACCACCACCCCTGACCTACAGGTGGACATGCAAGCCCCAGGTATCAAGCTGGACAGGGAGTTGAGCATGGAGGACAAGGACATGACCGCCAAAGACAGCAAGCTCAAAATGCCCAAGTTCAAGATGCCGTCCTTCGGTGTGTCGGCATCCAGCAAGCCCTCAGAGGGCGCGGTGGAGGTGTCAGTGCCCAAGGTGCAGGGTGACGTGGAGCTGCCCTCCGTCCAGGGTGACCTCGAGACCCCTGAGGTCAGCGTTCAGCTGCCCTCTGCCAAAGTAGAGGCCAAGCTGGACCAGGTGGCTGTGACCCTGCCCGAGGGCCAGCTGCCTGAGGGAGACCTGGCAGGCCAGACTTCTAGAGCTGGCCTCAAGAGCCATCTGCCCAGGTTGCAGATGCCCAGCCTGAAGATGCCCAAAGTGGCCCTCAAGGGCCCCCAGGTGGACATCAAGGGCCCCAAGGTGGACATGAAGGGCTCCAAGGCTGAAGCAGGCACCGCTGATCTAGAAGTGGCTGCACACAGCATGGAGGTGGACCTCCAGACCCCCAGTGCCAAGCTGGAAGGGGACCAGGCCCTTGGAGACAAGGACATGTCCGCCAAAGACAGCAAGCTCAAAATGCCCAAGTTCAAGATGCCGTCCTTTGGCTTGTCAGCACCTGGCAAGCCCTCACAGAGCACTCTAGAGGTGTCAGTGCCCAAGGTGCAGGGTGACATGGACCTGCCCTCCGTCCAGGGTGACCTCGAGACCCCTGAGGTCAGCATTCAGCTACCCTCTGCCAAAGTGGAGGCCAAGCTGGACCAGGTGACCATAAAGCTGCCAGAGGTTCAGCTGCCCAAGGAAGAGCTGGTGGGCCAGTCTACTGGAGCTGACCTCAAGGGTCAGCTGCCCAAGGTGCAGATGCCCAGCCTGAAGATGCCCAAAGTGGCCCTCAAGGGCCCCCAGGTGGACATCAAGGGCCCCAGGGCTGAAGCAGGCATCCCTGATCTAGAAGTGGCTGCGCACAGCATGGAGGTGGACCTCCAGACCCCCAGTGCCAAGCTGGAAGGGGACCTGGCCCTTGGAGACAAGGACATGTCCGCCAAAGACAGCAAGCTCAAAATGCCCAAGTTCAAGATGCCGTCCTTCGGTGTGTCAGCACCTGGCAAGACCTCACAGAGCACTCTAGAGGTGTCAGTGCCCAAGGTGCAGGGTGATGTGGACCTGCCCTCTGTCCAGGGTGACCTCGAGACCCCTGAGGTCAGCATTCAGCTGCCCTCTGCCAAAGTGGAGGCCAAGCTGGACCAGGTGATCGTAAAGCTGCCAGAGGTTCAGCTGCCCAAGGAAGAGCTGGTGGGCCAGTCTACTGGAGCTGACCTCAAGGGTCAGCTGCCCAAGGTGCAGATGCCCAGCCTGAAGATGCCCAAAGTGGCCCTCAAGGGCCCCCAGGTGGACATCAAGAGCTCCAAGGCTGAAGCAGGCACCGCTGATCTAGAGGTAGCTCTGCCCAGCATGGAGGTGGCCATCCAGACCCCCAGTGCCAAGCTGGAAGGGGACCAGGCCTTCGGAGACAAAGATGTGTCCACCGAAGACAGCAAGTTCAAAATGCCCAAGTTCAAGGTGCCGTCCTTCGGTGTGTCGATGCCCAGCAAGCCCTCAGCGGGCGCGGTGGAGGTGTCAGTGCCCAAGGTGCAGGGTGACGTGGGCCTGCCCTCTGTCCACGGGGACCTGAAGACCCCTGAGGTCAGCGTTCAGCAGGACCAGGTGCCCGTGCAGTTGCCCAAGGGCCAGATTCTTGAGGGAGAGCTGATGGACCAGCCAGCTAGAGCTGACCTCAAAGGTCATCTGCCCAAGGTGCACATGCCTAGCCTGAAGATGCCCAAAGTGGACTTCAAGGGCCCCAAGCTGGACATCAAGGGCCCCAAGGCTGAAGCTGACACCCCTGACCTAGAGATGTGTCTCCCCAGTGTGGAGGTGGACATCCAGACCCCCAGTGCCAAGCTGGAAGGGCACCTGGTCCTCCAAGATAAGGACATGTCCACCAAAGACAGCAAGCTCAAAGTGCCCAAGTTCAAGATGCCGTCCTTCGATGTGTCCGCTCCCAGCAAATCCGCAGGAGGCCCAGTAGAGGTGTCAGTGCCCAAGGTGCAGGGTGACGTGGACCTGCCCTCTGTCCACGGGGACCTGAAGAGCACTGAGGTCAGTGTTCAGCTGCCCTCTGCTGAAATTGAGGACAAGCTGGACCAGGTGGCTGTGATGCTGCCCAAGGACCAGCTGCCTGAGGGAGACCTGGCAGGCCAGCCTCCTGGCGCTGGCCTCAGCAGCCACCTGCCCACTGTACAGATGCCCAGCCTGAAGATGCCCAAAGTGTCCCTCAAGGGCCCCCAGGTGGACATGAAGGGCCCCAAAGCTGAAGCAGGCACCACCACCCCTGACCTACAGGTGGACATGCAAGCCCCAGGTATCAAGCTGGACAGGGAGCTGAGCATGGAGGACAAGGACATGACCGCCAAAGACAGCAAGCTCAAAATGCCCAAGTTCAAGATGCCGTCCTTCGGTGTGTTGGCATCCAGCAAGCCCTCAGAGGGCGCGGTGGAGGTGTCAGTGCCCAAGGTGCAGGGTGACGTGGACCTGCCTTCTGTCCATGGGGACCTGAAGACCCCTGAGGTCAGCGTTCAGCTGTTCTCTGCTGAAATTGAGGCCAAGCTGGACCAGGTGGCTGTGACCCTGCCCGAGGGCCAGCTGCCTGAGGGAGACCTGGCAGGCCAGCCTTCTAGAGCTGGCCTCAAGAGCCATCTGCCCAGGTTGCAGATGCCCAGCCTGAAGATGCCCAAAGTGGCCCTCAAGGGCCCCCAGGTGGACATCAAGGGCCCCAGGGCTGAAGCAGGCATCCCTGATCTAGAAGTGGCTGCGCACAGCATGGAGGTGGACCTCCAGACCCCCAGTGCCAAGCTGGAAGGGGACCTGGCCCTTGGAGACAAGGACATGTCCGCCAAAGACAGCAAGCTCAAAATGCCCAAGTTCAAGATGCCATCCTTCGGTGTGTCAGCACCTGGCAAGACCTCACAGAGCACTCTAGAGGTGTCAGTGCCCAAGGTGCAGGGTGATGTGGACCTGCCCTCTGTCCAGGGTGACCTCGAGACCCCTGAGGTCAGCATTCAGCTGCCCTCTGCCAAAGTGGAGGCCAAGCTGGACCAGGTGATCGTAAAGCTGCCAGAGGTTCAGCTGCCCAAGGAAGAGCTGGTGGGCCAGTCTACTGGAGCTGACCTCAAGGGTCAGCTGCCCAAGGTGCAGATGCCCAGCCTGAAGATGCCCAAAGTGGCCCTCAAGGGCCCCCAGGTGGACATCAAGAGCTCCAAGGCTGAAGCAAGCACTGCTGATCTAGAGGTAGCTCTGCCCAGCATGGAGGTGGCCATCCAGACCCCCAGTGCCAAGCTGGAAGGGGACCAGGCCATCGGAGACAAAGATGTGTCCACCAAAGACAGCAAGTTCAAAATGCCCAAGTTCAAGGTGCCGTCCTTCGGTGTGTCGATGCCCAGCAAGCCCTCAGAGGGCGCGGTGGAGGTGTCAGTGCCCAAGGTGCAGGGTGACGTGGGCCTACCCTCTGTCCACGGGGACCTGAAGACCCCTGAAGTCAGCGTTCAGCAGGACCAGGTATCCATGAAGTTGCCCGAGGGCCAGATTCTTGAGGGAGAGCTGATGGACCAGCCAGCTAGAGCTGACCTCAAAGGTCACCTGCCCAAGGTGCACATGCCCAGCCTGAAAGTGGACTTCAAAGCTCCTCAGGTGGACATCAAGGGCCCCAAGATGGACATGAAGGGCCCCAAGGCTGAAGCGGACACCCCTGATCTAGAGGTAGCTCTGCCCAGCATGGAGGTGGACATCCAGACCCCCAGTGCCAAGCTGGAAGGGGACCTGGTCCTCCAAGACAAGGATGTGTCCACCAAAGACAGCAAGCTCAAAATGCCCGAGTTCAAGATGCCCTCCTTCGGTGTGTTGGTGCCCAGCAAGCCCTCAGAGGGTGTGGTAGAGGTGTCAGTGCCCAAGGTGCAGGGTGACGTGGACCTGCCCTCTGTCCACGGGGACCTGAAGACCCCTGAGGTCAGAGTTCAACTTCCCTCTGCTGAAATTGAGGCCAAGCTGGACCAGGTGTCCGTTACATTGCCCAAGGGCCAGCTGCCTGAGGGAGACCTGGTGGGCCAACCTCCTGGAGCTGGCCTCAGCAGCCACCTGCCCATGGTGCAGATGCCCAGCCTGAAGATGCCCAAAGTCGACCTCAAGGGGCCCCAGGTGGACATCAAGGGCCCCAAGCTGGACATGAAGGGCCCCAAGGCTGACACCGACACCCCTGATCTAGAGATGTCTCTTCCCAGCATGGAGGTGGACATCCAGACCTCCAGTGGCAAGCTGGATGGGGACTTAACCCTCGGAGACAAGGATGTGTCCACCAAAGACAGCAAGCTCAAAATGCCCAAGATCAAGGTGCCGTCATTTGTCATGTCGGCTCCCAGCAAGTCCTCAGAGGGCGGGATAGAGGTGCCAGTGCTCAAAGTACAGGGGGACATGGGAATTCCAACCATCCAGGGTGACCAGAAGACCCCTGAGTGCAGCATTCACCTGCCCTCCGCTGAAACTGAGGCCAAGGTAGACGAGGTATCCGTGACCCTGCCCGAGGGCCATCTGCCTGAGGGAGACCTGGAAGGCCAGACGGACAGAGCTTACTTCAAAGGTCACTTGCCCAAGGTGCAGATGCCCAGCCTGAAGATGCCAAAAGTGGCCCCCAAGGGCCCTCAGGTGGACAGCCCCAAGCTGGACATGAAGGACTCCAAGACTGAAGCAGAATCCCCTGATCTAGAGATGTCTCTGCCCAGTGTGGAGGTAGACATCCAGACCCCCAGTGGCAAGCTGGAAGGGGACTTGGCCCTGGAGGACAAGGACATGTCCACCAAAGACAGCAAGCTCAAAATGCCCAAGATGAAGATGCCGTCTTTTGGCATGTTGGCACCCAGCAAGCCCTCAGAGGGCACTGTGGAGGTGTCAGTGCTCAAAATACAGGGTGACATGGACCTGCCCTCTGTCCATGGGGACCTGATGACCCCTGAGGTCAGCGTTCAGCTGCCCTCTCCCAAACTGAAGACAAAGGCAGGCAAGGTTTTCGTGAAACTGCCCGTGGGTCATCTGTCCGAAGGAAAACTGGCAGGCCAGCCTACGGAAGATGACCTTAAGGACCACCTTCCCAAGGTGCAGATGCCCAGCCTGAAGATGCCAAAAGTGGACTTCAAGAGGCCCCAGGTGGACATCAAGGGCCCCAAGGTGGATAGGAAGGGCCCAATGGCCGAGGTGACTGCCCCCCACATAGAGGTGTCTCTGCCCAGCGTGGAAGTGGACAGCATGGCCTCTGGTGCCAAGCTGGACAGGGACCTGACCCTGAAGGACAAAGACATGTCCACCAAAGACAGCAAGTTCCAAATGCCCAAGTTCAAGATGCCGTCCTTCGGCGTGTCGGTGCCCAGCAAGCCCTCAGGGGGCGCTATAGAGCTATCCACACCCAAGGTGAAGGGTGAAGGCCTGCCATCCATCCGTGGGGACCTGAAGTCCCCTGATGTCAGCACTCAGCTGCCCTCTGCTGAAATTGAGGCCAAGCTGGACCAGGTGGCTGTGGAGCTCCCCGAGGGCCAGCTGCCTGAGGGACAGCTATTGGGCCATATCGACAGAGCTGACCTCAAAGGTCACTTGCCCAAGGTGCACATGCCCAGCCTGAAGATGACCAAAGTGGACTTCAAGGGCCCCAAGGCTGAAGCAGACACCACTGATCTAGAGGTAGCTCTGCCCAGCATGGAGGTGGACATCCAGACCTCCAATGCTAAACTGGAAGGGGACCTGGTCCTCGAAGAAAAGGACATGTCCACCAAAGACAGCAAGCTCAAAATGCCCAAGTTCAAGATGCCGTCCTTCAGTGTGTCGATGCCCAGCAAGTCCTCAATGGGCGCGGTGGAGGTGTCAGTGCCCAAGGTGCAGAGTAACGTGGACCTGCCCTCTGTCCAGGGTGACCTCGAGACCCCAGAGGTCAACATTCAGCTGCCCTCTGCTGAAATTGAGGCCAAGCTGGACCAGGAGGACATGAAGCTCCCTGAGGGCCAGCTGCGTGAGGGAGAGCTGGCAGGCCAGACTACTGGAGCTGGCCTCAAGAGCCATCTTCCCACGGTACAGATGCCCAGCCTGAAAACGCCCAAAGTGGCCCTCAAGGGCCCCCAGGTGGACATCAAGGGCCCCAAGCTGGACATGAAGGGCTCCAAGGCTGAAGCAGACATCCCTGATCTAGAGGTAGCTCTGTCCAGCATGGAAATGGACATCCAGACTCCCAGTGCCAAGCTGGAAGGGGAACTGGCCTTCAGAGACAAGGATGTGTCCACCAAACACAGCAAGCTCAAAATGCCCAAGTTCAAGATGCCGTCCTTCGGTGTGTCGGCATCCAGCAAGCCCTCAGAGGGCGCGGTGGAGGTGTCAGTATCCAAGGTGCAGGGTGACCTGGAGCTGCTCTCTGTCCAGGGAGACCTCGAGACCCCTGAGGTCAGCATTCAGCTGCCCTCTGCCAAAGTGGAGGCCAAGCTGGACCAAGTGACCGTAAAGCTGCCAGAGGTTCAGCTGCCCAAGGAAGAGCTGGTGGGCCAGTCTACTGGAGCTGACCTCAAGGGTCAGCTGCCCAAGGTGCAGATGCCCAGCCTGAAGATGCCCAAAGTGGCCCTCAGGGGCCCCCAGGTGGACATCAAGGGCCCCAAGCTGGACATGAAGGGCCCCAAGGCTGAAGCAGACATCCCTGATCTAGAGGTAGCTCTGTCTAGCATGGAAATGAACATCCAGACTCCCAGTGCCCAGCTGGAAGGGGACCTGGTCCTCAGAGACAAGGACATGTCCACCAAAGACAGCAAGCTCAAAATGCCCAAGTTCAAGATGCCATCCTTTGGTGTGTCTATGTCCAGCAAGCCTTCACGGGGCCCGGTGGAGTTGTCAGTGCCCAAGGTGCAGGGAGACGTGGAGCTGCCCTCTGTCCATGGGGACCTCGAGACCCCTGAGGTCAGTGTTCAGCTGTCCTCTGCCGAAATTGAGGCCAAGCTGGACCAGCTGTCTGTGACCCTGCCGGAGGGCCAGCTGCCTGAGGGAGACCTGGCAGCCCAGCCTTCTGGATCTGGAATCAAGAGCCACCTGCCCAAGGTGCACATGCCCAGCCTGAAGATGCCCAAAGTGTCCCTCAAGGGCCCCCAGGTGGACATCAAGGAACCCAAGCTGGACATGAAGGGCCCCATACCCGAAGCGGGTGCTCCCGATGTAGAGGTGTCTCTTCCCAGTGTGGAGGTGGACATTGAGGCCCCTGGTGCCAAGCCTGAGAAGCACTTGGCTCTGAAGGACAAGGACATGTCCGCCAAAGACAGCAAGCTCAAAATGCCCAAGTTCAAGATGCCGTCCTTTGGCGTGTCAGCACCTGGCAAGCCCTCACAGAGCACTCTAGAGGTGTCAGTGCCCAAGGTGCAGGGTGACGTGGACCTGCCCTCCATCCAGGGTGACCTCGAGACCCCTGAGGTCAGCGTTCAGCTGCCCTCTGCCAAAGTGGAGGCCAAGCTGGACCAGGTGACCATAAAGCTGCCAGAGGTTCAGCTGCCCAAGGAAGAGCTGGTGGGCCAGTCTACTGGAGCTGACCTCAAGGGTCAGCTGCCCAAGGTGCAGATGCCCAGCCTGAAGATGCCCAAAGTGGCCCTCAAGGGCCCCCAGGTAGACATCAAGAGCTCCAAGGCTGAAGCAGACACCGCTGATCTAGAGGTAGCTCTGCCCAGCATGGAGGTGGCCATCCAGACCCCCAGTGCCAAGCTGGAAGGGGACCAGGCCATCGGAGACAAAGATGTGTCCACCAAAGACAGCAAGTTCAAAATGCCCAAGTTCAAGATGCCATCCTTCGGTGTGTCGATGCCCAGCAAGCCCTCAGCGGGCGCGGTGGAGGTGTCAGTGCCCAAGGTGCAGGATGATGTGGACCTGCCCTCTGTCCACGGGGACCTGAAGACCCCTGAGGTTAGCGTTCAGCAGGACCAGGTGCCCGTGCAGTTGCCCGAGGGCCAGATTCTTGAGGGAGAGCTGATGGACCAGCCAGCTAGAACTGACCTCAAAGGTCACCTGCCCAAGGTGCACATGCCCAGCCTGAAGATGCCCAAAGTGGACTTCAAGGCTCCTCCGATGGACATCAAGGGCCCCAAGGCTGAAGCAGACACCCCTGATCTAGAGATGTCTCTACCCAGTGTGGAGGTGGACATCCAGACCCCCAGTGCCAAGCTGGAAGGGGACCTGGTCCTCAGAGACAAGAACATGTCCACCAAAGACAGCAAGCTCAAAATGCCCAAGTTCAAGATGCCGTCCTTCGGTGTGTCGATGCCCAACAAGCCCTCAGAGGGCGCGGTGGAGGTGTCAGTGCCCAAGGTGCAGGATGACGTGGACCTGCCCTCTGTCCATGGGGACTTGAAGACCATTGAGGTCAGCATTCAGCTGCCCTCTTCTGAAATTGAGGCCAACCTGGACCAGGTGGCCATAGAGCTCCCTAAGGGCCAGCTGTCTGAGGGACAGCTATTGGGCCATATCGACAGAGCTGACCTCAAAGGTCACTTGCCCAAGGTGCACATGCCCAGCCTGAAAATGCCCAAAGTGGACTTCAAGGGCCCCAAGGCTCAAACAGGCATCTGTGATCTAGAGGTGTCTCTGCCCAGCATGGAGGTGGACATCCAGACCCCCAGTGCCAAGCTAGATGCAGACCTGGCCCTCCAAGACAAGGATGTGTCCACCAAAGACAGAAAGCTCAAAATGCCCAAGTTCAAGATGCCGTCCTTCGGTGTGTCGGCATCCAGCAAGACCTCAGAGGGCGCGGTGGAGGTGTCAGTACCCAAGGTGAAGGGTGACGTGGACCTGCCCTCTGTCCATGTGGACCTTGAGACCCCTGAGGTCAGTGTTCAGCTGTCCTCTGCCAAAATTGAGGCCAAGCTGGACCCGCTGTCTGTGACCCTGCCCGAGGGCCAGCTGCCTGAGGGAGACCTGGCAGCCCAGCCTTCTGGATCTGGAATCAAGAGCCATCTGTCCACAGTGCAGATGCCCAGCCTGGAGATGCCCAAAGTGTCCCTCAAGGGCCCCCAGGTGGACATCAAGGAACCCAAGCTGGACATGAAGGGCCCCATACCCGAAGCGGGTGCTCCCGATGTAGAGGTGTCTCTTCCCAGTGTGGAAGTGGACATTGAGGCCCCTGGTGCCAAGCCTGAGAAGCACTTGGCTCTGAAGGACAAGGACATGTCCGCCAAAGACAGCAAGCTCAAAATGCCCAAGTTCAAGATGCCGTCCTTTGGCGTGTCAGCACCTGGCAAGCCCTCACAGAGCACTCTAGAGGTGTCAGTGCCCAAGGTGCAGGGTGACATGGACCTGCCCTCCGTCCAGGGTGACCTCGAGACCCCTGAGGTCAGCATTCAGCTACCCTCTGCCAAAGTGGAGGCCAAGCTGGACCAGGTGACCATAAAGCTGCCAGAGGTTCAGCTGCCCAAGGAAGAGCTGGTGGGCCAGTCTACTGGAGCTGACCTCAAGGGTCAGCTGCCCAAGGTGCAGATGCCCAGCCTGAAGATGCCCAAAGTGGCCCTCAAGGGCCCCCAGGTGGACATCAAGAGCTCCAAGGCTGAAGCAGACACCCCTGATCTAGAGGTAGCTCTGCCCAGCATGGAGGTGGCCATCCAGACCCCCAGTGCCAAGCTGGAAGGGGACCAGGCCTTCGGCGACAAAGATGTGTCCACCAAAGACAGCAAGTTCAAAATGCCCAAGTTCAAGGTGCCGTCCTTCGGTGTGTCGATGCCCAGCAAGCCCTCAGAGGGCGCGGTGGAGGTGTCAGTGCCCAAGGTGCAGGGTGACGTGGACCTGCCCTCTGTCCACGGGGACCTGAAGACCCCTGAGGTCAGCGTTCAGCAGGAACAGGTGCCCGTGCAGTTGCCCGAGGGCCAGATTCTTGAGGGAGAGCTGATGGACCAGCCAGCTAGAGCTGACCTCAAAAGTCACCTGCCCAAGGTGCACATGCCCAGCCTGAAGATGCCCAAAGTGGACTTCAAGGCTCCTCAGGTGGACATCAAGGGCCCCAAGGCTGAAGCAGACACCCCTGCTCTAGAGATGTCTCTACCCAATGTGGAGGTGGACATCCAGACCCACAGTTCCAAGCTGGAAGGGGACCTGGCCCTCAGAGACAAGGACATGTCCACCAAAGACAGCAAGCTCAAAATGCCCAAATTCAAGATGCCGTCCTTCGGTGTGTTGGTGCCCAGCAAGCCCTCAGAGGTCACGGTGGAGGTGTCAGTGCCCAAGGTGCAGGGTGACGTGGACTTGCCCTCTGTCCACGGGGACCTGAAGGCCCCTGATGTCAGCACTCAGCTGCCCTCTGCTGAAATTGAGGCCAAGCTGGACCAGGTGGCTGTGGAGCTCCCCGAGGACCAGTTGCCGGAGGGAGATCTGGCAGCCCAGTCTGCCAGAGCTGACCTCAAAGATCAGTTGCCCAAAGCTCAGATGCCCAGCCTGGAGATGCCCAAAGTGTCCCTCAAGGGCCCCCAATTTGATATCAAGGGCCCCAAGCTGGATATGAAGGGCTCCCAGGCTGAGGTGGCGTCCCCCGATCTGGAGGTGTCTCTGCCCCGTGTGGAAGTGGACATTGAGGTCCCCGATTCCAAGCTGGATGGGGACCTCGTCCTGGGGGACAAGGATGTGTCCACCAAAGACAGCAAGTTCCAAATGCCCACGTGCAAGAGGCCGTCCTTGGGCGTGTCGGCGCCCGGCAAGCCCCGGGAGGCTGCTCTGGCGGTGTCGGCACCCACCGTGCGGGGCTCCGCAGGCCTGACCTCCGTCCAGGGGGACCTGAGGACCCCTGCGGTCAGCGCTCAGCTGCCCCCGGCCAAACAAGACTTGGAGGTCTGCCATGTGTTCGTCGGCCTTTCTGAGGACCATGGTCCTGATATTTCTCTTCCACGCTCTGGTGTTCGGATTTCTTTTCCTAAATTCCATAAACCCAAGTTCACTGTCCGCAGCCCTGCTGTGCCGAGTCACCACGCGGGCCCTCAAGCAGCGGAGCCCTCGGCTTCTCCTCCCGGTTCTGAACCTTGGCGTTGCCCCTGCGATGGGTCCCTGGCGTCCGGCCCACATCTCTGCCCTGGGGCAGACGCCGCTCAGCAGCCGGCTGCTTCCTCTGGGGTCACTACAGATGAAGTTCCTGTAGAGCCTGGCAAAAGCAGTCCTTTCAAATTACCCCGCTTCAAACTGCCATCTTTCCATCAGTCTCCAAAGAAAGTGCCGGAGTGGCCTGGGTCCCTGGGGAGCTCTGCGGGGGACCCCGCCATTCCTGTCCCCTTGGAGTCAGACGAGGCGCTCTCTCTGCCCTGTGCTCAGCTGTCCCAGGAGGAAGCAAATTCCGGCGTTCCTTCAGACAAGGGTGGGGAGAAGGGCAGGACCAAGAAGCCGGGGTTCGCCTTGTGCAGAGTGGCTCTTCCGAAGCTGAAGGCCTCTAAGGGGCCGGCCAGCCCGCCGCAGGGAGACGCCGGGCCGGCTCTTCCAAGGGGCCCGGCCGCAGGACACTCGGAAGCCTCAGGGGATGACCGTGCCCGGGGGGTTGCTTTGGAAAACGGCACCAAGGAGGGTCTCTCGGAAGGAGATGGTGTGAGCCTCCAGATGTCACCCGTCCACACCCCCAGCTTGGGCTTTGCCAAACCCAGTCTCAGAGCCTCCACCGCCAAGATGGACAGGAGGCCCTGCGACGCTGACCAGCCCCTTCCTGAAGGTCACTCAGCTGTCACGGTTGACCGCAAACCGCCTGAGCTTGGGGACCTGTCAGCCAGCCCGTCTTGTGTGGAGGGGACCATCCTCCCACCCGAAGACCCTGTCCAGTCTCCCGGCAGACAGCCCGAGGCCAGCCCGGCCGGGAGGCCAGCGGCCGGGAGGCCACTGCGCGAGGCGCCCTCCGATGCGCAGGAGCGCCGGCTCAAAATGCCCAAGCTCCGACTTCCTGGCTTCCGACGCTCCTCATCCCAGGAGCAGGGCAGGGCCGCGGGGCAGGATGCCGCCCAGCTGCCCCTGCCTGCCCCCGACTCGCACACGAAGCCACTCGTTCCTGGGCCAAAGGTGGAGGCGGTGGTGTCCCCTGAGCCCCTGGAGGCGGGGCTGCCTGTGACCGCTCCACCCAGCCCCCCGCGCTCCACGCGCACACCTGTCCAAAGCCAGGACCACCCCGGCCTGCAGCCGCCCCTGCCCACAGCAGCCGTGGGACAGAGTGATCTGCCCCGCTCCGAGGCCCCCACCGGGCTGGCAGCAGCCTCCCTCCCCCCACAGCCGCCCGGCGTGGGAGACTCAGAACCCAAGGCTCCCGAAGGAGAGGTTGCCCGGAGGCCTCCGCCCGGGCCCAAAGGCCCCGGCTCCCTCTCCCCCGAAGGGCCTGTGAAGCTGACGGCTTCCTGCACAGACGCGCCCGCACAGGTCTCCGTGGTGAGCGTGGACCGGCTCTGGGAGGATTCCGTGCTGACCGTGAGCTTCCCAAAGCTAAAGGTGCCCAGGTTCTCGTGCCCGGCCCCCAGCTCTGAGGCGGTGTTCTTCCCAGTGGTGAGGGACGACACGGGGTCCGGTGTCTGGGCCGCTGCCAACCGGGACCAGCCTGGGCTGTGGGGGGCCAGGCGCCTGCGGGCCGACGCCGAGGGCACCGGGGAGCCTCCTGCACCCCTCTCCTCAGAGGCACCCCCAATTTCTAAAGTCAAGGTACACATCCAGGGGACTCCGGGTGAGAGCCAAGAGGTCATTGTACGCAGCAGGGTGACACGAGAGCATGCTGGTGTCGCCACCGCTGCGGGCTTTTCCACGCAGATCGTGCGGGAATCAGAGATCTCGGCGTCCGTGGCGCAGGTTCCTTCTTACGGATTTTCCTTGCTGAAGGTGAAAGGTGCAGAGCCCTGCACGCAGGCCAGCATCCACATGGGGGCTCTGGGCTCGGGGGCCCTGGGGGGCTTGGGTGGGGCTCCCGCTTCAGCCACCCCAGGCATGGGCCCCCGGCCTGCAGAGCCCCAGCCCGATGCCACAGAGCCGTTTGAGATGGTGTCTGCCAGCGTCGCCCTGTCTGGGCTGCCCGTGCCTGTGCCCAAGGAGCCCGTGGGCACCCAGTCTGCAGACCACGGCTCCGACGAGGAGCCCGCAGAAATCCTGGAGTTTCCCGAGGACAGCTGGGAGGAGGCGGCCACCCCGCTGGCAGGCCAAGACTGGGCTCCGAAAGAGAAGCCAGCCAGCAGGAAGTCTTCTGGTCTGCTGTGGTCTTGGCTTCCGAGCATCGGGTTCTCTTCCTCGGATGAGACTGGCGCCGAGCCCAGGGATGACACCCCAAGATCTACCCCCATCCAGACGCAGCCCGGGGCCCGGACTGAGGCGGAGCTGCCCAAGAAGCAGGAGAAGCCAGGCTGGTTCCATCTGCCAAAGTTGGGGTTCTCCTCGCCCACCAGGAAGAGCAAGAGCACCGAGGCCAAGGCAGAGCTGGCGGAGCAAAGGCACCAAGAGGAAACCACCACGTTTTTTGATGCTCGAGACAGCTTCTCTCAGGAGGAGGAGGAGGACGAGGAGGAGGAAGAGAGAGGGGATCAGGGAGCAGGGGCTGCAGGTACCCGGCAATTGGTGGTAAGAGAAGAGCAGGACAGAAATGCTGGCGAGGAGTCTGGGCCTGTGGCCAAGTGAGGGGCAGCTGTGGGCAGGAGCCAGGCACCCGCGCAGAGCACGCCACCCCGCAGAGCCCAGACCTGAGCGCACAGCAGAAATGAATCACGGGTCACCACACCCAGCCCTGGTCAGGAGCCAGGCACCCGCGCAGAGCACGCCACCCCGCAGAGCCCAGACCTGAGCGCACAGCAGAAATGAATCACGGGTCACCACACTCAGCCCTCCTAACTGGGATGAACTTCGTGTCCCTTCCCACAACGCTTTGGAAGCAGAGAGTGCAGAGTGCATGCGCGTGCGGGCTCAGGGCCACTGCTGGCCGCAGGTCTGGGGCCGGCCCGGCCACGGCTCTCGGCCTGGCTCTGGGACTCGCTGGAAGAGGCCGGTCCTGTGCAGCCTCCACCCATGGCTGCTCTTTCCTCCCATGGATTCTCTTAGGCTGAGTATGGCATTGTCCAGAAAATCCCTCCCTGCCCCGTCCACCTCCCTTCTTTGCCTCCTTTCCTGACGTGAATGGCTGCGCCGTATGTGGCCACAGGCACGTCTGCTGTGAGACAGTGCAACCGGTCCGCAGACCTGTCAGCCGCACCAGCCCCGCCTGCTCCCCCAGCGCCCGCTGCGCACACAGCAGCCAGCCCGCCCCCTGCTGGACAATAAAGCAAGTGACACTCCCGGCTGCGGTGGTCTTTTGTTTGGAGAGCGTCAGCCTGCTCCGCACACCCTCCACCTCATGGCTCCAGAGGCCCAGCCGCCATGTAGGCTGGTGTACGCCGGGCCCCCCCAGGGCACCGTCCCTGGTGTACGCCGGGCCCCCCCAGGGCACCGTCCCTGGTGTACGCCGGGCCCCCCCAGGGCACCGTCCCTGGTGTACGCCGGGCCCCCCCAGGGCACCGTCCCTGGTGTACGCCGGGCCCCCCCAGGGCACCGTCCCTGGTGTACGCCGGGCCCCCCCAGGGCACCGTCCCTGGTGTACGCTGGGCCAGCTCTCCTGGGCACAGCTGTCTGGGCCACAGTGGGGAGGGGAGGGACAGGGAATCGGGCCGCGGCACCCTTTCAGCACCGTGCCCTCCACAACACCGGTTGCCCCTGAGGGCTGGTGCCAGTGGCCTTGGTGGACCCCGTGGGTGAGAGGCGGCGTGGCGTGCCCGCAGCACAGGGCTGGGTCTCATCTCACCCGCACCCAAGGCGGGACTGGCGTGGCCATCTCCCCGTGCACACTGCCTCCTCGGCACCCACCCTTCCACAGCAGGCACAGCGCCACCCCACAGCCCTGGGCCACTAGGTACGTGCACATGCACACACATGCGCACACACACGAGGCACATGCACACACGTGCACACACTACACGCACACACATGCGCACACACGTGCACACACACTGCAGGCCTTGGCCCAGCGCTCCTGCTCCCCAGTGGCCAGAGCCAGTCGTGGGTGGGGCAGGCCATCCTGAGTGCTCATCTGGCCCAGCCCTGCCCGCGAGGCCTCGTCCCAGGCGCCCGGTCCTGCCCACGAGGCCTTGTCCTGGGCGTCCGGCCCTGCCCGCGAGGCCTCGTCCCGGGCGCCCGGCCCTGCCCGCGAGGCCTCGTCCCGGGCGTCCGGCCCTGCCCGCGAGGCCTCGTCCTGGGTGTCCGGCCCTGTTCATGAGGCCTCGTCCTGGGTGCCCGGCCCTGCCCGCGAAGCCTCGTCCCGGGTGCCCGGCCCTGCCCGCGAGGCCTCGTCCCGGGCGCCCGGCCCTGCCCGCAAGGCCTCGTCCTGGGTGTCCACGGGGCCAGCACTGGGAGGGAGCTCCCGCAGTGGACACTGACCATGACTTCAGCAAGATGACCACTGTTGCCAGCGGGGAGCCCAGAGGAGAAGCTTCGCTCTGGAGCCTGGACTGAAGTTGTGGGGGGGGGGGGCGCGCGAGGGCCCCAGGGCGGGAGGGGTGTGGCCCTGGCAGGCAGTTTGTGTTCACCCTGAGGGTGGAGCCTTGAAGGAGGACCGCAGAGCCCTTGCTGAGCAGAGGGGAGAAGCCTGGGAGATGTGGTTTAATAAAGGACATTCGGGAACCAGGATCCGTGGGCATGAGGGGAGAGAGAAAATGCACAGGAATGCCAGGGTTTGGCTTGGCCAGGCCTTGCGCCATCTACATCTGTAACGGGGGGCGGCAGGTGGGCAGCTGTGCCAGCAATCCGCCGCGGGGCGGGGGGACAGCCAAGCACCCGCTCACGCCACTCAGTGGCCTTCCTCTGGCAACCGTGGACATCCTCCGTCCCGGCTCTGTCCCTGACGAGCCCCGTCCCTGGACGTCTCAGAGCGCAACCCAGACTCTAAGTAACACTCCTGAGCTTCTGCGGCATCTGAGCTCCAACTGGTGGACACTGATGGCCAGTGTCCAATGAGAGCCGTGGCCCTGGACCAGAGGCTCCGCCTACCAAACACAGTCCTGGCCGGGGGCCTGTCCATCCAGGGGCACAGCATAGGCAGAGCTCCAGTCTCGCTCAAAGAGTCTCCGCAGCTTTTCCTGCACAGGGGGTTCACTCGGGCGGGAGCTGGGGGCCCTCTGGCTGACCACCAAGCCCACGCCTGCAGTGCTGCTGAAGTACTCCTCTGACCAGTTGGAAGTACCTGGAAGGTGGGCAGCAAAGTCCTGCTCAGACCCCCACAGCCCAGCCAGTACTGGGAGCGCAGAGGCAGGGCTGGGCTCAGGCCCCTGGTCATCCACTGCTGGCAAGGACGGCCATTGTGTAGGTGCAGCAGGGCAACATGGCTATGCAGCATGGAACTCTACCCATGCCCACCTGGGATAGAGCTGACTCACTCAGGATGGGCCCCTAATTCACCCGGGATGGGGCCCTAACTCACCCGGGATGGGGTCCTAACTCACTCAGGATGGGGTCCTAACTCACCCGGGATGGGGCCCTAACTCACCCGGGATGGGGCCCTAACTCACCCGGGATGGGGTCCTAACTCACCCGGGATGGGGCCCTAACTCACCCGGGATGGGGCCCTAACTCACCCGGGATGGGGCCCTAACTCACCCGGGATGGGGCCCTAACTCACCCGGGATGGGGTCCTAACTCACCCGGGATGGGGCCCTAACTCACCCGGGATGCGTGCTAACTCACCCGGGATGCGTGCTAACTCACCCGGGATGCGTGCTAACTCACCCGGGATGCGTGCTAACTCACCCGGGATGCGTGCTAACTCACTAGGGCCAGTCCTCCAGGCTCCCCCTCGCCCGCCATCCTGCAGGCCGAGGCACCAGGAGCTGCCTGCCTAGCCCTAAACGCCCGCGGCCTTGACGCTGCTCCGCAGCCGCCAGCCCGAGGTCCTGTGAGCACGCACCTATGTAGGCGGTCTTGTCTGTGACGGTGAATTTGCTGTGGCTCACGCGGCTGAACGGGACGTTGGAGTGATTTCCCACGGGCAGGATGAAGACTTTCTTCCGGGAACAGAGAGTGTCGGGCTGGGCCGGGAGGGAAACAGCCAGGAGGCTGCTTCTCCCCTGCCCTCCCTCCCCAGGAGGCGTCCTCCTCTCCCCTGCGCACCAGGAGGGGTCCTCACCACGTCCACGGAGATGCCAGCTGAGGCGTTGCCAAAGGCCTGCAGAGACCGCAGGAAAGGGAACATGGCAGGGTCCGTGTTGAGCCAACAGCTGACCAGCAAACGCACGCACACGCCTCGGTTCAAGGCCGCTGCCCGCAGAGCATTGTCCAGCACGGGCCAGTACCTGGGGACAGGGGCAGGAGGTCAGGGCCCTGCCGACAGCCTGGGGTGCCAGGAGCTCCTGTGCCCTGGGAGCCGCCCCTCAGCAGAGCTGGACCCACCTGGCAGGGTGGTGGAAGTGGGTGGAGGGGAAGTACTCCATCACAGCCGTGTAGACGAACTTCCGGGCCCCCCTGATCACCGCCAGCACCGCGTCCAGGTCCCTAGTACGGCCATGGGGGCACAGGGGGGGCGGGGAGGCCTGGGGGAGAAGGGCCCAGAGTGCACTGCCAGCCGCAGGTTCCCGCACCCACCACCCCGCAGCGACCGGCCTGGCCAGGGCAGCTCCGCCCGAGACCAGGGCTGCTAGCTCTGAGGAAACCCCCAGGCCTCGTGGGTCCCGTGGATTTTCCATGGACTTCTGCCCAGGGACGCCGCCCTGCTCCCTCCAGAGAGGGCCCGGGCGGGGGCCGGCCCTTGCCTTGTGATAGCGCCTCCTGTAGAGCAGCGCCTGGAGCAGCGGGGACCCCGTGTTCGCTCCTCTGCAGGCCAGGCTAGCCTCCGCTTGGGCCTCTCGCCTCCCTGTGGAGCAGCCCTGGCTTCTCCACTTCCCACCTCCACCCGAGGGCTGGCGATGGCCCCAGGCGCCCCACCCCCGCGGGAGTGGGCCCAGGTCCCTTTCGGGGCCCCCTCTGCCTCTCAGTGCAGCCCCAGTGCCCGCCAGAGCCCAGCGGGGCTGCCGCGGCCCCTCAGCCCACCTTACCGAGAAGTAGGCAGAGGTGGGCACCCCGTCAAAGCGCCCCCGGAAGGGCTGGGCGTGGTTGATGTGGGTTGAGAGGTTCCGAGGCCAGGTCTGGGGGAGGACAGCGTGGGGTGCCCCCAGCGCCCAGTAGGTCTGGAAGATCTTTTCCAGGTCCTGGGCCAGGTGGCTGCAGTTGTAGATGACAGCGCCCAGCTCCTTCACCTGCAGGGACCAGGGGCCAGGGGCCCAGAGGCTGAGGAGCCCGGGGCGTAGCAGGGCAGGGTCACCTGCAAGGGTCGCAGGCAAGCCGGGCGCGGCCCAGGCCGTTTCCCTGGCCACTGTCCTTCTGTGGTCAAATCAACACACTCATTCCAAAATAAAACAGAAAATGCATGGAAACCCAGAGCTGGAGGTAAAAATCGTTAGAAATGACCGTTCAGGGCTGGGACCGTGGCTCAGTGCCACATGAACAGCAAAAGCCAGAAATGGTGCTGTGGCTCAAGTGATAGAGCGCCAGCCTTGAGCAAAAGCAGCTCGGGGACAGCGCCCAGGCCCTGAGTTCAAGCCCCAGGGCTGGCAAAGAAAACAGAAATAACCACTCTTACCATATCTGCTTTCTTTTTGTTTTTTGGCTGTGCTGGGGATTGAACCCAAGGCTTGTGTGTACAGGTGAGTGCTTTTATCAGTGAACTACGTCACCAGCAGCGCCACTTTTTGATAATTTTTTGTGTGCTGCTGTGGACTGAACCCAGAGCTTCACACATGCTATGCACCGGCCCCCATGCCCCCCCCCCAGGGCTGCGACTTGTTTATAATGTGTGGAATGTGGGTGGCACGGCATCAGCACCTTCCCACCTCCTTAAATGTTCCTCTACACTGCGATTGTGGGCCGGGTGAGGGAGCCGGGCCCCGGGCTGGGTGAGGGAGCCGGGCCCCGGGCCCGGGTGAGGGAGCCGGGCCCCGGGCCCGGGTGAGGGAGCCGGGCCCCGGGCCGGGTGAGGGAGCCGGGCCCCGGGCCGGGTGAGGGAGCCTGTATGCTGTGCTGCCGGCGTGATCACAGCCACGTGATCACTCACAACACAATTTTGTTGAGACTTGGGACTCCAGGCTCAGAGTCGGGGAGGAGGCCCTCAGCCTCTGGCCGGACTCACCTGTGTCAGTGAGCGCCAGTCCATGTTGGCACTGCCCAGGTAGACATGCCGCCTGTCCACAATCCAGAATTTGGAGTGCAGGACGCCCCCAATGAGCTTCTTCATGGGCACCTGGCGGACCCGGGCACCTGATGAGATGAACCGACTGCATGCCAGCTGCTCAGCGGCTATGCGTCTGATCCTCAGGCGCCATGACCACCCAGCACTGCCCTGCGCTGCCGGGCGGAGCCTGGCCCCGGACGTCTCTGGGCAGTACGGCTCCCAGCGCTTGTAACGGCTGTGCTGGGGCTCCCTGGCTGGAGCTGGCGGCCTGAGCCCCTGGCCATGAGTCAGAGGGGTCATGGAGGCTGCCTGGGCCCTGCTGTGGTGGGTGTGGCTCCAGCTGCCGGAACCTGCCCTGCCCCCAGGTGAGGTCAGCCCAGTGGAGCCGAGGGCTCCTGCCCTCCAGACGTGTTTCTCTCTCTCTCTCTCTCACACACACACACACACAGGCACAACTGGCAGCAATGCTGGTCTCTGCCTTCGTCCTGTGTGCCCCGCACAAGGCCTGGAGGACGCAGGCACTACCTTGGGCAGCCAGGACTTGCAGGTCAGTGGACTCCGTGGCCGGTGTCGGGCTGCTGGTGGCCACGGCCAGGGAGACGTTCTTGGCGAGCAGAAGCTGCAGCTTCCGCAGAACAGCTTCTCCCTGCAGAGTCAGGCAGGCATGAGAGGCGGCGCCCAGGGCAGCCCAGCCTCACCCCTCCCAGCAGGGACCAGATCCCGACCACCCTTGATGGGGCGCGGGACTGCAGCCGGGGACTCTCCACGCGCCCGGACCCCAAGCGCACAGCTCTGCAGATGGCCCTGGGCTTTCCAGAGAGCTCTGCTCCCGCCCCACCGGCGGGGCCCCGGGCCCCGCGGCCTGTGCAGGGCTGACCTGCCGGGAGGAGGTGTCGTTGACGCCAATGTCCTGCCCGGTGAGCGACCAGTAGTAGGAGGCCACCTGGATGCTCTCCTGGGCTGCGTCCAGGAGCTGCAGCCAGGCCTGGGCCAGGGGCCGGCCGGAGGGGCTGCCCGCTGCGAAGGGCAGGTCCTGGGGAATGCTTTCCACGAGGACGAGGCTGGGGGGCACAGAGCAGGGCATGTGGGCACCACGGCCACCTGGCCTGGCCGCCAGGGGCTGAGCAGGGAGCTGGGCGGAGCCTGGCCGGCCAGATGAGGGCCCCTGGGCGTGTCCAACAGGAGCCTGAGGGTCAGGACCAGCAGGACAGGTTGTGGGATCCGACCACCCCAACCACTCTGGGAGCAGCCACTCCTAAGACCAAACTGAGGAGGGGTCTCTGGGTTCCAGGCCTCCACAGCAGGGCAGGAAAGGGGGAGGGGCTGAGGCGTTAGTGGGGAGCAACAGAACCCCGGGAGTGGAAAGACTTTGAAAGTCCTCACCCCATGTGCTATGCTCAGCACCTCAAGTCTACGCCACTCATGCCAACAGTCCACCCCCGCGCCCCCCCCCCCACCTTCCAGGTCTACACTACAGACCCGCGGGGCGAGGCCAAGCCCAGGGGAGACACCGCCCGCCGCACTCACTGGCAGGAGTCCGTCTGCCCCCCGGCCTCTCCTCCCTGGGCCTTGCAGGGCCTGCACGCCACCTCCTTAGGGCGCATCTGGAGCCAGGTGACAAGAGGGGACACTGGGCCCAGGAGCAAGGTGAGCGAGAGGGAGCCAAGCCCCAGGGCGGCCAGCACGCCAAGCACCTGCGGGAGAGATTGCCACGGGGTCCCCGGATGGTACGGGCGCCCCCCAGTCCAGGGAGCCCAGAGGGGGCTGGGGGAGGGGAGGGGAGGGGGAAGGGAGGAGGTAGGGGAGGGTGCCCAGAAGGGGAAGGGAGGGGAGGGGAGGGGGTGCCCAGCAGGGGGGGGGGGAGGGGAAGGGAGGGCGCCCAGCTGGCCCAGGCCCCCTGGGTGGGGTCGGTGATCCTCACTCCAGTCTGCGGGGCAGTGCCTGCGGTGACTGTCCCCAGTCCCCTGCAGGGGGCCGGAGCTGCCACACCCCGGTGGCCTTGGGCCCCACCGGCCTGGCCTCCTCTACCCCAGGGTTGGTTTTGTCCTCTTCACAGGTCTATAGACCTAAGATTTTAAGAAACTAGACTTTTAAGAATGGTTTTGAGCAGGCCCAGTGGCTCACGCGTACAATTCCAGCTACTCAGGGGGCTGAGATCTGAGGATCACATTCAAAGCCAGCCTGGGCAGGAAAGCCCACGAGACTCTTATCTTCAATTAACCAGCAAAAAGCCAGAAGTGAAGGTGTGGCTCAAGTGGTAGAGGACCAGTCTTAGGCAAAAAAATCTAAGAGCGCTCAGGACCTGAATTCAAGCCCCAGGAATAGCATGTACACACACACACACACACACACACACACACACACACATACACACACACACACACACACACACACACACGAGTAGCTCTAGCCGGGCAAAGTGGTACACACTTATAATCCTAGTACTTGGGAGCCTGAGGCAAGAGGAGGGGGAGGGGTCCTAATTAGGAATAGGGTTCAGTGTTTTCTGGACTGTTAAGTCTCTCAGGGGGACTTGAGCCCCTGACTCAAGTAGGATTGGGGGACATTCTGTATGAGGAAGTGGGGTGGAGAAGGGCACTTGGGGCCTCTGCTTCTTCCCACAGGGCCCAGCATCTGCACAGGTCTGTGGGTGTCAGTACCTCTGGGCCCCCAGAAACCCCAGGGATCCCCATGGACACCTCCAACCCCCAGGGGTTGGTCACCATGGCGCCAGGCTGGCCCTGGGCAGCTGGCGCCAGTGTCTCTGGAAATACCACCCGCATGGTGCTGCCCCCCCCTTCCTCCCTCCCTCCCTCCCTCTTCTGCTACCCTTCCTGCGTTGAATGTCTGAATCTAGGCTCCTTGTTTCAACCACAACTGAAACTGGGTCTGAAACTGCCGCTTCTGCTTTTCCCTCCTCATGGGCAACACACAGCTGCCTCCCTTTCCGGCCCCGGTCCTGCCCAGCAGCAGGCTCCTGACTGGGAGATGCGATGAGCCTCAGCCAGGGCTGCCGCAGCCCACGCGGGACCCCAGCCTCGCGGCCCTGGCTTTGCCCAGGCCCCGTCTGCGGGGCGGGGGCCAAGCGAGGCCTCCACCCTGGGTGACCTCGACACTGCTGCAGGGGTTCTGAGCCGCCCCCGGGCACCGGGTACCCACGCAGGGTGCTGGGGTGGCCCTCGGATGGCCAGTGCTGGGCCGTGGCGCCCAGGGAGCCTTCCGTCTCTGCAGGCCGCTGGGCCGTCCTCCCAGGAGCAGACCGGCCCGGCCCGCTGTGTCCTTCCTCCACACCCCGGTGAGACCAGAACGCGGCTGCCCTGTGTCTGCCAGAGGCAGGGGTCCAGGGAACCGGGGTCACCACGCCTGCACCCCTCCGCTGGAAAGGGGCCGCCTCCTACCCGAGCCCAGCTACAGCTCACAGACAGCGCTCTCGCACACCCCCAAGGGCCGCTGGGGTCCCCCAAAGCCCGGCTCCAGGCTTTCATTCTTGCTTTGTGAGTCCAGGAGAGACGCTGCGGCCTCTGGCTCCGGAAGGGCTCCGGTTCCCTGCCCGACGCCCTCTGAGAGCTTCCAGTCTGAGGAGCCAGGCGGGCCGGGAGTCAGCCAGCGCAGCCGTGCTGGCAATGTGGAGGCTGTCCAGCGGCCGGAGCCTGCCCCACCCCCTTTTTCCGAGGTGCCTGCCCACCGGGCCCAGTTCCCCACCCCCTCCTGGCCTTCGGGGATCACAAGGCCAGGGACGCCCGCCCCCCTCCACAGTGCTGCACAGCCCGGGCCTGTCCCTGTTGGTCCTGGAAGGTCCCCGGGGTGGGGGCTGTCTTTCCAAGGCCTGGTGCTGACACCCCAGGGACGCGGAGCCGGGAGCTGGGCTCTGAGACTCGGCCTGCAGGCTCCCAGCGGAGACACTCCGCCGCAGATGAGGAGGAAGAGGGCCAGTGGGCCTGGGGGTGGAGAGGACAGGCCTCCCCAGCAGGCAGCAGCGTAGGCTGGGAGCCTGCTCCTCCTGGCTCCCTCCCTCCCGGACGGGCCTCTAGGTACCTACCTGAAGCCCTGCTTTGCCATCCATCCTGGCTGCAGGCGGCGCCGGCCGTAGGCAGTGAGTGCCGTCTGTCCGCCGGCCTTGGCTCCTTGGCCCTCCACGGCTGGCCGCTGCGTCCCCACCCACCGGCCCACCAGTTCCTCTTTCCTCTGAGCCGCCCACCCCCACCTGGAGACGAACAGCCAGGGCTGTGCACCCTGGAGGCTGGGGCTGGAAAATGTCCCCTCCAGGGGACATCCACCCACCCCTCCTCTGGGGCACCCCAAAGCCACCAGCCTGTGTGTCGGTTGGGCCTGAAGAGCACAGGCCTGGGACCAGAGCTGCAGTGGCATCAGTGGAAGGTTCCAGAGGAGGGGAGCATGGGTCCAGGGACACTGGACTCCTCACCTGACTTCTGAAACTGAAACCTCTCTATGCAACCATCTAATAAAATGACTATTTAACAGTAATACTAGTAAAAAGAGGGGTTCTATGCTGGGCACTGGTGGCTTACGCTTGTCATCCTAGCTACTCAGGAGGCTGAGTAGTTCAAAGCCAGCCTGCACAGGAAAGTCCATAAAACTTTTTTTTTTTTTTTTTGGTCAGTTGTGGGGCTTGAACTCTGGGCCTGGGCGCTGTCCTTGTGCTCTTCAGCTCAAGGCAAGTGCTCTACTGCTTGAGCCACAGCGCCACTTCCAGTTTTCAAGTGGTTTATGGGAGATAAGAGTCTCACAGACTTTCCGGCCCGGGCTGGCTTTGAACCGCGATCCTCAGATCTCAGCCTCCTGAGTAGCTAGGATTACAGGCGTGAGCCACCAGTGCCTGCCTTCCGTGAGACTCTTATCTCCAATAAACCACTCAGAAAACCGGAAGTGGTGCTGTGACTCAAGTGGTAGAATGATCACCTTGAGCTGAAGAGCACAGGGACAGCGCCAGGCCCAGAGTTCAAGCCCCACAACTGACAAAAAATAAGAAAGGAAGAAAGGAAGGAAGGAAGGAAAGAAAGAGAGAAGGAAAGAAAGAGAGGTGTTCTATGCAGACAGTTATGGCTCCACAGAGGCTCAAGGGCCTCCAAGCTGCTGCAGGTGCAGTCTCCAGGCTCCAGGCTCCGGAAGGCTCTGCCCCGAGTGATGGATGGAGCCCCTGACAGGTTCTGCTTGTGGGTCACAGGGAGGTGGTGGAGGCTGTGGGGGTGGAGCCGGGTTGGAGGACAGAGGCGGCCTTTCAAGGGTCTCTCTCTCCGTCTATCTGTCTCTGTCTCTTGCCATCTGTCTCTCTGTCTCTTCTCTCTGTCTCTCCTCTCTCTCCATCTCTGTCTCTCTGTCCCTTTCTCTCCATCTCTCCTCTATCTCTTTCCTGTCTCTCTCTCTCCTCTCTCCATCTATCCTTTCTCTGTCTCTATCCACCTCTCCTCGCTGTCTCTTTCCTCTGTCTCTCTGTCTCCCCATCTCTGTCTCTCTCTCCTCTCTCTCTGTCTTGCCTCTCTCTCCGACTCTGTCCCTCCATCTCTGTCCCCCACTCCTTTCCAGCTGCCGTGACCTGAGCTGATTCCCTCTGCCCTGCTCCGGCTGCCATGCTGTTCGGCCTCTCAAGCCCCACTGGGACTGAAGCTCTGACACTGCCAGCCAGAATAGATCCGCCCTCCCCGCCTTAAGCTGTGCCTGTCAGGTGTGTGCCACAGTGCTGTGGAGCTGGCCCCCAGGAACTTCCCAGGGTCCCCCAGGGGCTTCTTACCTATGGTCTAGATGTGGCCCAGACTCAGTCACAGGCCCGGGAAGGCTAGGGCATGGGAGGCTGGGGTGGAGGCTGGGGTCAAGAGGTGGGCTAGCGAGGCTGGGGGGCCCTGTGTCTCCCCTCTGTGCTCCCTCCAGCACCTCCAAGGACAGACACTGGGTACAGCATCCACCTGGACACCGTGGGCTCCTGTCCTCTGTGGCAGCTGACCCCGGGCTTCTGTCCAGGGTGCTGAGCATGGCGTGCCCGCAGGGGAGGACGGGCCTCCTCCAGCATCCTGTGGCCGGCCTGGTGGGTCAGGAAGTGGATGGAGAAGAGAGCTGGCCTCTGCTTCCCAGGGGACCCGGGGTCAGGGCACACCACTGTTGCCTGCGGGAGGCCTGCAGGCTGGGAGCGCCCACCGGGAGGCCCTCTGTCCTATGCAGCCGGGCCTAGCTCATCCTCACACCAGGGCCTTGCCACCTGGACAGTCCCCGGGCCGAGCTGAGCCGGGTCAGGCTCCAGGAGGAGCCGTCCACCCTGGGGACAGCGAGAGGAAGCTGGGGTGGAGAGGCTCCGGCCCTGCTGCCCTCTGGCCCTTGTGCCAGCCCTGCAGGAAAGGCCAAGGAGGGAGGCGGGGCACAAGCCCCTGGGTGGGTGGGTGGGCCATGGTGGCCAGCTCCTCCCCGGTCCGCTCCCCCAGGGTCCTGGGTGGGGCGGGTTTGGAGGTTTCTCATAAAGCAAAGAATGTTTTGTCCTAACTTCCCTCTTATTAGTAGATATCAACTATAGAAAAGAGTATTATGATATTTCCATACAGATACACACACTTCCTTAATCAAATTCACATCTTTTTTTTTCTGTTCCTGGGGCTCGGGCCCAAGGCCTTGGCCTTGCTTGGTTGGTTGGTTTGCTCAGATGGCAATCTACCACTTGAGCCATGCCTCTAGACTTGCTTCTTTCTGGTTATTTTAGAGTTGGAGTTTCGAGGACTTTTCTGCTTGACTGGCTTTGAATCATGATTCTCCAGATCTCAGCCTCCTGAGTAGGTAGAAGACACATGTGAACACCCAGTTTCTGTTGCTTTCCTAGCCCCACCCCTTCCTTTTGAAAACAATTTTAATGGATCTTTTTTTTTCAGTCTTGGGGCTTGAACTCTGGGCCTGGGCGCTGTCCCTCAGCTCTTCAGCTCAAGGCGAGTGCTCTACCACTTGAGCCACAGCACCACTTCCAGTTTTCTGGTGGTTCATTGGTGATAAGAGTCTCACAGACTTTCCTGCCTGGGCTGGCTTTGAACTGCAGTCCTCAGATCTCAGCCTCCTGAGTAGCTAGGATGACAGACGTGAGCCACCAGTGTCCCTGGCTTCAGAATTCTATTTGACACACACACACACAGGAAGTGTGGCGACCACATCCCCCAGCCCCCAGGCACCTCCTCTGGCTGATTTCTACCACAATTAAAGCCCCGCTTACACTAATGTTGTTCTGTCACCCACAGACTCCACGTGAGGAAGAAGGCAGTGTTTGTCTTCCTTGGTCTGGCTTTTTTTCCATTAACATGCTCTCCAGTTCCATCCATTTTCCTGTGAACAGCATGATTTCATTCTTCCTTATGTCTAAGTAATACTCTTGTGCATGGGGGGGGGTGTAAATTTTCTTCATGGGGCTGGGAAGGTGGCTCAGTGGTAGAGCGCTTGCCTTGCATGAATGAGGCCCTGGGTTCCATTCCTCAGCATCACTTACACAGAAAAAGCCGGATGTGGCGCTGTGGATCAAATGGTAGAGCACTAGCCTTGAGCTGAAGAGCTGAGGGACAGCGCCCAGGCCCAGAGTTCAGGCCCTGCAACGGACAAAATTTTTTTTAAGTATTTTCTTCATTATATTCAGCTGCTGATGGACACCTCACTGTGTACTTCCATGGCCGGCTCTCGTGCTTGGTGCGGCAGTAGACGTGGGTGTACAGTTAGCTCCTGTACACTTATGTCCCTTTGGATGAGTGCCCAGCAGACACGCTGCAGCCCCACTGGATCATTCTAGTTCCAGCCTTTGGAGGAACCGCACTGATTTCCAGCGACCTGCCTGGTTTGCACGCCCACCAGCAGGGTGAGGGGCCTTCCCCACATCCACCCAGCATTTGTTTTTCTCGATGATGGTCTTTGTGACTGAGGTGGGTTGGGGTCTCAATGTACTGGGGTTTGGAGACCTGAGGTGAGGGTGTTATTTTTGTGTGTGCACCAGTCCTGAGCACTGTCCCTGAGCCTTTTTTGCTCAAGGCTTGGAGCTCTACCACTTGAGCCACAGCTCCACTTCTGGCTTCTTGGTGGTTAATTATGTAGCAGCCTAACAGACTTTCCTGTCCATGCTGGCTTCGAACTGTGATCCTCAGACCTCAGCCTCCAGAGTAGCTAGGATTGCAGGTGTGAGCCACTGGTGCCTGGCCTCATGTAGTTTTGCATTTCCTTTACAATTAAAACTGTTGGTGTTGGAGGTGTGGCTCACTTGAAAGAGCACTATCCAATGAGCAAAAGCATCAGGTACTGAGTTTGAGTCCTGATTTCAGATCAAAAAAGAAAAGCTGTTGAACATTTTCTCCTGTGTTTACTGGTCATTTGTGTTTGGGGGAGGGGTGTCAGTGCTGGAGTTTGGACTCAGGGCCTTGAGCTGCTGTGCGGGCTCTCTTCCACTTGACCCTCACGCCTCCCACACTTGTTCCTTCAAGGTCTGTCTGTTCATTTATTAATTGGGTTGTCTTTGCTGATTTTTGGAACTCTTCATTATGGGTATTAATCCCTTATCTAACAGGGATTTCCCCGCATTCTGTAGGCTTTTAATTCTAGTCAATTTGCTGGGAAGAAGCTCTTTAACTGCGTGCAGCCCCAGTCACCCATTCATGCTCTTGCTTCCTGAGCCATCGAGGCTCTTCTGAGGCTCCCGGCCCGTCCTGTCTCCAGGGCTCTTCTGAGGCTCCCGGCCCGTCCTGTCTGTCTCCAGGGCTCTTCTGAGGCTCCTGGCCTGTCCTGTCTGTCTCCAGGGCTCGTCTGAGGCTCCCGGCCCGTCCTGTCTGTCTCCAGAGCTCTTCCCTCTGGTTTCCTCTTCATCATCCATTCACGTCAAGCTTTGACCCACTTTGTGTGCATAGGATGGAGACAGGGGTGTGCTTAGGCCTCTACAGGGGGATATTCCGTTTCCTCCACACCACTGGTTGAAGCTGTTGTCATTTCTCCCATGGATGATTTTGAAGTCTTTGTTGAAAATCAGGTGGCTGTGGCTGCATAGGCTTATTTTTGGATCTTATATTCTGTTCCATTGGGTTACCTGTTCATCTGCCAATACCATGCTGTTTTTGTTACTAGGGGTCTATAACATGGTATGAAGTCAGGTATTGTGGTATCGACCACATTTCTCTTTTTGCTCAGGATTGCTTTGGTTACTTGGAATCTTTTGTACTTCCATATAATTTTGGAATTTTCCTATTTCTGGAAACAATTGCATTGGAGTCTTTGTGGGGACTGCATTGGTCTGTAGACTGCTTTCGGTGGTGTATTTATTTTCACAATGTTCACAGTCCTGCCAGCGCATGAACGCGGGATTCCTCCCGTCTTCTAGGGTCTTCATCAGTGCTCTCTCGAGCATTTTTTCACTTTTCCTTGTGAGGTTTTCACCTCTTCAGATTTAATCCTATGTAGTTTTGTGAGGCAACTGTCAATGGAGTTTTTCTGCACACTTCTTCACAGCCTGCTCCTTGCTGGTATGTAGGAAAGTCATGGATGCCGTATATGCTGGCTTTGTGCCCTGATCTTTTGTGGAAAGCACAGGTCACATCCGAGAGTTTTGGGGGAATCTTTAGGTCTCTTAAGTCTTGACAACACTGTCTGCAATGAGGACAGGTTGGCTTCTTCCTTTCTGATCTGCATCCTTTTTTTTTTTGGTCAGTCACGGGGCTTGAACTCGGCCTGGGTGCTGTCCCTCAGCCCTTCAGCTCAAGGCGAGCACTCTACCACTTGAGCCACAGCACCACTTCCAGTTTTCTAGTGATTTGTTGGAGATAAGAGTCTCACGGACTTTCCTGCCCGGACTGGCTTTGAACTGGGGTCCTTAGATCTCAACCTCCTGAGTAGCTGGGATGACAGGCGTGAGCCACAGATGCCCAGCTGCATCCTTTTTCTTGTGCTACACTGAGCAGCACTTCTCATCCTGGCCCCGTGCAGAGTAACGCTGGCTATAGGCTTGCATGTACATGCTTCCTGCTTCGTTTTCCAGGGCGCGGTGTCTGAGACCCTCTGGCCAGCTCCACGCTGCATGGCCAGCCACGTGGGCTCAGCGGGCTTAGTGACCTGCAGGCCCCACGTGCATGGAGATTGACTGCCCCACTGAGAGCCTGGGCATCTGATGGTGGGGCACCAGGCTCTCTCCAGCCACAGAGGAAATGGTGGCAAAGGGCTCCCTGCACACACCTGGTACTGCTTCCTGCTGTCCGGTTTATGCAGCTTGGGATAGAGTGCTCATGCACACCGCATCCCCAAGAAGGCCTAGCTGGCTTCAGACCCTGCCCTGCTCACCTTTGCTTCCTGAGTAGCTGGGATGACAGGCTGGGGCCACCAAGCCCGTGGCTTTTTAAGGAGCAAACATCTGCTCTGCAATCATGCCTAGGCTGCCACCTGGTGGCAGCACCTCTAAACTACAGCATGGCTTTCCAGCAGAGGAGATTCCTCAGGCCCAGGGCCATGCCCATGCCCCACAATGTCCCCTGTGGAGAGGACCCACGGCGGACGCTGTCCCCCAATGAAGAGGTCCCACACGGCAGGTGCTATTGTGCTGCTGTGTGATAGAAGAATGGTTTATTTGAACAAACTCGATGACAAATCATATAAAATAATCATTTTCTGAAAGACATCCACAAGACCACCTGAGAATGTACAGACGCCTCTGCAAATCCAATCAGACCGCAGCCCCGGGGGAGCACAGGACCAAGGGGCCTGACACAGGAGAAACACTCATTGTGCATTGAAAATGTACAGCAGTGCACAGGGAGGGAGGCGTGGCCGACGGTGACCAGCCACCGCGGCCCGGGGACAGGCCGAGGCCACGCAGACACGCAGGGCGGTGGTACACCTCGGGCCAGGCCAGCACCTCCTCCACAGACAGCAGGCTTTCCGGTGAGGACCCGCCACCAGCCTTCCCCCCCACCCCCCTCCCGCACACACGTAAACATCAGGTGGGCTGTGGCAGCTCAATGTAAACAGGGAGACCGCGCCCCCAAGGAGGCCCCGAGTCCCTCACAGATGGGCACCCTCCGGGTCCACCCCCGCACAAACACGGCACACCCACACCAACCGGGTGGAGGGGACCCCTCCCCCACAGCAAACAGGCTCTTTGGCTTCATGCCTCCGGAAACACTGGCCACCCCACAGAGGCAAGAGCAGAGGGGCACTGCTGGCCTGCCTGGCACAGCCTGCTGAGGATCCTGAGGACGCACGCCGGTGCCAGGGCCGCCCCTGCCTGCCCGCAGGGCTAGGGTTGCAGAAGCCCGTGGCAGATGCCCGCTTATTACGCAGTGTCCCGGGGGCAGGAGGGAGGCCAGATGGGAGCCCCAGAATCCTGCTTTCCAGTCACTTTGGCCTGCTGGGGACCTGGTCCTGCACTCGGCTGTGGTGTGGAGAGGGGCCTGCCCCCACGAGGGGCCTGGGGTGGAGCTGCCACCCACCATGGAGCCTACTCTGCAGGGCTCTGCCCGGACGCCCGTGCAGTGGATTTGGCAGTTGTATGGGGAGCAGGGACCAGTCCTGGGGTTCTGGCCCTAATGTCTCCATGGGCCATCTGTTCACTCAGGCTGCTGGACTGGGCAGCTCCACTCAGCTCAGGTGCTTGGTTGGGCAGCACCCCTCCTTCTGGGCAGTCCTAGGCCACACCCGAGCTCTCCCCAGCTCCCATTCAGCTCTGAACGACCCCTGGCTGCAGCCTTCTTCCCTGCCTGGCGTCGGACAGCATGCAGCCCCGTGGAGGCGGGCCCCACGGAGGGGAGCCCCGCAGAGGCGGGCCCCGCGGAGGCGAGGCGGCGGCCCCGGCTCAGGCCCGCAGAGGCGCTGTGATGGCACACACTACTCTTTCCTTTAAAGCTAACAACAGAAACGATGGTGATGGTGAGGGGTGGGTATGTGCCCTCAGGGCCTGCCCTTGCAGCGCCCACACCCAGAGCCGGGCCTGGCACGGCAGGGCTGGGCGAGGTGGCTGGGCTGAGGGGTTGGCACAGAGGCACCTGCCCCAGGGGGTTATGGCACATACGGGGTTTTCACAGAGAGCCACCTGGCTGGGCAGGTGGCCACATGGTGGATGCAGCCACAGGACACACACACACACAGGGGAAGGCCCCACCTGCCCCGCGCCTAGATCAGGAACTGCTCGGCGTCGGGGAGGAAGGCAGGCTCTGGGAGGCTGGGGGGTCCGCAGTTGGCCCGTTGTGGGAAGCTCCTCAGGGGCAGGGCTGGCAGCAAGGGCTCCACCAAGGCAGGCGAGCAGGGACTCTGGGCTGCTGACCGGCCCTTCCCCAGCCCTTGCGGGGCCAGACCTGTGGAAGCCCTGTTTCCTGTCAGCAGGTCCAGATTGACATTGGGGTCCACAATGGCATTGATGACTGGGGAAGGAGAGAAGGGTCAGGTCCGCTGGGGGAGAGGAGGAGGGGACTGGGGCCCAGGGGCTGGGGGCCTGGGACTGAGGGGCTGGGGCCTGGGGGGGGGGGTCAAGGCCCAGGGACTGGGGGACTGAGTGGCCAGAGGGCCAGGGAGTGGGGGTCTGAGGGGTCAGGGGGTTGGCAGTCCCGGGGGCCAAGGGGCCAGGGGGGTTGGGAACTGGGGGTCCAAGACCAGGGGGCCAACTGGCCCACCAGCATGCACAGTGCCCCACCACAGATACCATACCCACCTTCCAGCTGTCTCTGCACACGCCTCAGCTCCTTCAAGATGGAGCTGATCTCCTGTGGAGGGAAGGAGAAAGTGCGGGTAGAGCAGGGCCTCCTGGGATCCTGAGTGGGGTCAGCTTGGACGAGCTGGCACAGCCAGTTGGCAGGAGAGGCCAGGCCCAGGCTTGGAGGCCCTGTGGGTCCTGCCCACGCCAGCCCTCACCTTGTTGGACGTCTTCAGGATGGGAACCTCATTCTCGGCGTTGATCCTGGCCTCCAGGTCCTCCCACGCTCCACCCGTGTTCTGGAAGAGAATCCTGGGAACAGAAGGGGCAAAGATGGCCGTAAGGGAACTGAGGTGACGCTCTTCGAAAGTGCTCCTCTACTGTGGTGAAGCTCATGCTCTCCTGCTAGCTGAGCCCTGAGCAGGAGCAGGGGCGGCTGTGTGTGGGAAGCCCAGGCTGAGGACAGGAGAGCCAGACTGATGCTGGGGGGAGACGGTAGGTGCCCCAAGCTCAGGTCAGCTTCCTGCAAGTTGTGCGCATGTGCGCACACACAAACATGCGCGCACACACACACGCACACACACACGCACACACAGCCTGGCTGCAGGCGCACACATGCATGTGCACCAAGTCGCATGCCCCGTGTGGACACCAACCCTCACGCGGCCACACGTGCACATCACCCCCAGCGCTGGCACAGGCCTGGCGCCCACTTGTGTTCACATCTGCCTCAGAGGCCAACTCACTTCATCTTTTCGGCAAGATGCTCTGTGTTCTGGCGGATGGCCTGTGAGAGCTGGGACACCGGGTTCAGCATCAGGTTATCGAAGATCACCTGCAAAAGTGGGGTGTCGGCATGGCAGCAGGGCCGCAGCTCCCCCCCCCCCCGCGGGGCCGCGCAGGGAGAAGTGCCGTGCCTCCTCGCGGTTCCGAGGCCTCGTCTTGGTCAGCGCCTCCTCACAGCTGTCACTCATGTTCTGGTTGAAGTCCCGAGAGTTCAGCGAGCCAGGTGGCACCTTCTGGAAGTTGAGGCTGGCCTCGGGAATGCGCTGCACAAGCTGTGGGTGGCAGGACGGGGTGGAGGCTGGTGTGGCGAGGTGCCGAGGGGCTGGAGAGCTCCTCACGCCCCGAGCACCACTCGAGCAGGCTCTCAGGCACAGGGCGGGCCAGCCCAGACCACGCACGCGCACTTGCCCATGGCTGGGGCTGTGCATCAGGGTGGCGGCACAGCTGTGTCTGCCTCCCTCGGCTCACCCTCCGCCCTCCACCAGCCCACAGGCCCGCACTCACCTCCTCCCGCGCGGAGATGGTTGAGGCGGGGGTGCTGGGCATGTTCCCGAGGGAAGGGCTGCGGGTGGGCCCCAGGGAGTCCCCGTCCCCAGCCACATCATGGATCTCCCTGGCCAAGATGGCCACATCCTTCACCAGTGTCTGGCTCAACCTGCAGCCACCAGGCAAGAAAGTGGGCTCCGAGTCCTCTCCCGAGAGGGCCGGCACAGGGGCGGCGGCAGGGGAGCAGGCAGTGTGGACGTGGCCCTCCCCTCTGGCGCAGAGGCTGACTCTGCCGTACTCGGCAAGCACGCGGCCTCCCCCTCTCCCCCCAGCGGTCCTGAGGCACTGGTCCCCACGAGAGGCTCTGCCGACAGCCCCAGGTTTCTCCCTTCAGGCTGGTGTGACTTGTCACAGCCAGCAGCTGGACTGTGCGCTCCACTCAGTGTCAGGCAGGTGGACGGGCTGTCTTGGGGAGACTTTGCCTCCCCCACAGGAACTAAGCTCCAGTGGTGACATGGGGTCACGACCAGCCTCCACCTGGCCGACAGCATGAGGGCCGTCAGAAGAGGGCAGAGGCAGGCTGGGGACACGCAGCCCTGCTCCTTCTGCTGAGGTCCTGGCAAGGTCAGCCCCTAGCTCCCTCACCCAGGTGACCATTTTGGGGGGCCCTGTCAGTTACCTGACCCCCACAGCCTGTCAGTCCTCTGACCTACAACCTGTCAGTCACCTGCCTCAGTGTCCCATGGGCCCATGACTAGGAGGCTCTTCACTCTAGCTTCTTGGCCTGTGGCTTGGAGAAAATGACTCTGCTGCAGTGCTCACAGAGCCAGCACCATTCCCAGGGCCACCTAGAACCTGCCCAGCCCAGAGCCCACAGAGGAGCAGGGCTGCCTCTGAGATGGCCGGGACACTGCCACACCTCCATTCCAGCAGGCCTCCTTCCTGTGCCCCTGCTCACGCTGTCCCTCAAAGCTAGAACCTTCGTACTCTTAGAGAGCAGACTGAGATCTCTCCAACCTTGGGTAATGCCAAACCCATACATGCCCGGTCTCAAGCCCCACTCCTTCCTGTTGACACCCTTCTTGGTTCAGGGAGACACGTTCCTCTCATCTTGTATGTCCTGCAGGTTGGTACGCTCAAACTCAACCTGAAAAGCTGAGACCCACCTGTGTCTGACCCGTGCCCTCTCCTCTCTAGCTCTGCTGGGGCCTGGGGAGTCACTGAGCCTTCCCGTTCACGATGCTGCCATCCAGAGCTCACACCTGCCTTGATGGGAAGCACAATACCCCCACCCCCACCACCTGGCAGACAGAACCTCCCCAACCTGGGGACCTGGGCTCCAGTCTCCACTCTTCATTCTGTCCCCCCATCTTTGTGGCAGTATTTGCATTCCATCCCCACGCCTGGACACTCTAGCCACCCCCTCTTCCCAGATGCCTCAGAGGATCTCAAACTCAGGGTGAACAGAAACACCTGCTGTCTACCCGGGCTCTGGGTTCCTCCTACTCTTCCATAAGCCTTGAGGGTCCAGCCATCATGACCTTGACCACTGCTCAGCAAGAGACCCCTCTCATCCCTACTTACCCGCATCACCCTCCCCCGCACCCCTACTCAACTGCACACCCTCCCCCGCACCCCTACTCACCTGCACACCCTCCCCGCACCCCTAAACACCCTTCCCCACACCCCTATCCATCTGTACACCCTCCGCCCACACCCCTACCCATCTGTACACCCTCCATCCACACCCCTACCCAACTGTGCACCCTCCCCCCACACCCTACCCATCTATACACCCTCCCCCCACACCCTACCCATCTATACACCCTCCCCCCACACCCCTACCCACCTGTACACCCTCCCCCCACACCCCTACCCACCTGTGCACCCTCCTCCACACCTCTACCCATCTGTACACCCTCCTCCACACCCCTACCCATCTGTACACCCCCCTCCACACCCCTACCCACCTGTACACCCTCCTCCACACCCCTACCCATCTATACACCCTCCCCCACACGCCTACCCATCTGTGCACCCTCCCCCACACCCCTACCCATCTGCACACCCTCCTCCACACCCCTACCCATCTATACACCCTCCCCCCACACCCCTGCCCATCTGTGCACCCTCCCCCCACACCCTACCCATCTATACACCCTCCCCCACACCCCAACACATCTGTGCACCCTCCCCCCACACCCCTACCCATCTGTGCACCCTCCTCCCACACCCCTACCCATCTGTACACCCTCCTCCACATCCCACCCATCTATACACCCTCCTCCACACCCCTACCCATCTGTACACCCTCCCCCACACCCCTACCCATCTATACACCCTCCCCCACACCCCTGCCCATCTGTGCACCCTCCCCCCACACCCTACCCATCTATACACCCTCCCCCACACCCCAACCCATCTGTGCACCCTCCCCCCACACCCCTACCCATCTGTGCACCCTCCTCCCACATCCCTACCCATCTGTACACCCTCCTCCACATCCCACCCATCTATACACCCTCCTCCACACCCCTACCCATCTGTACACCCTCCCCCACACCCCTACCCATCTATACACCCTCCCCCACACCCCTACCCATCTATACACCCTCCCCCCACAACCCTACCCATCTGCACCCTCCCCTATACCCCTACCCATCTATACACCCTCCCCCACACCCCTACCCATCTGTCCACCCTCCTCCACACCCCTACCCATGTATACACCCTCCCCCCACACCCCTACCCATCTGCACCCTCCCCTGTACCCCTACCCATCTATACACCCTCCTCCACACCCCTACCCATCTGTGCACCCTCCCCCACACCCCTACCCATCTATACACCCTCCCCCACACCCCTACCCATCTGTGCACCCTCCCCTGTACCCCTACCCATCTATACACCCTCCCCCACACCCCTACCCATCTATACACCCTCCCCCACACCCCTACCCATCTGTGCACCCTCCCCTGTACCCCTACCCATCTGTACACCCTCCCCCACACCCCTACCCATCTATACACCCTCCCCTGTACCCCTCCTCCCCTGTACCCCTACCCATCTGTGCACCTTCCCTGTGTCTGGCTTCAAATGAATGACCATGCAAGGAAGTTCATTTCTAATAAAAATTTTGGTGGGGACCTGCTTGTGCCCAAACAGATATCTTCCTGGGAAGATATCTTTCCATCCATCCAACCTACCAACGGAACTATCCTTGCATTTACTTAGCCATGCACTCATCCATCAATCCACTCATTCCTCTACCCATTCATTCACCCAGACATCCACCTGCCAACTAAAGTACCCATCCACCTGCCCCCCCCCACTCACCCACCTATCCACCCATCCATCCAGTGATCCATCCATCCATCCATCCACTCATCCAGTGATCTATCCAATAATCCATCAAGTCATCTACCTATCCACCCATTCATCTATCCATCTACCCATCCAGTGACCCACCACCCACTCATTCATTATCCAGTGATCCATCCCTTGATCCATCCATCCAGTGATCCATCCATCCATCCAGTGATCCAACCACCCATCCATCTACCCATCCATTTGTCCCCTTCACATCTGAGTTTCCCACAAGCTCATGTGTTGAATATTTGGTCCACAGCTAGTGTTGCTATTTTGAGAGGCTGTGAGGACTTCAGGAGGCAGGACTTAGCTGGAAGTAGGTCACTGTGAGTTTATCCTAGGAGATATGCCATTCCTGGCTTCTGCCCATCTACCTTTCTTTGCTTCCTATCCACCGTGAGGTGAGAACATTCTCTTCCACAAGCTCTAGCTACCATAATGGGGCGAAGTGACCAAACACTGGCGCCTCTGAAACCGTGAGCCAAAATAAACAATTCCTCTCTTTAAGTTGTTCCCATGTACTTCAGTCACAGCAACACAGAAATAATCAATATGCCACCAGCCAGCCCGTCCAACCCAACTACATCCTTGCAACCTTTCACCTATCCATTCCTGTGCCTCCCCACCCACCCACTCTCCCACCCATCCTTCCATCCATCTACCACTCGCCCAAGCCTTCTCCAAGTCTATCTGGAGCCAACAGTAGAACTCTAGCCTAGGCCCTATTCCAAGGGACACGGGGTGCCTGGGACTCACTCACCTGGCAATCTCGGCAATCTCTGCCGTCTGCACGATGAAACCATAGGGGTCAAGCTCCTCCTCATCGTCATCTGTGTCCCGAGGGCCGGGGGCCCGGGCCCGAGCCCGGCCAGAGCTGCTGGCCCGCAGGGTCTGCGTGGCTGTCGAGGCATGGGAGCGTGTGTGTTTGGGGGAGCTGTGGTGGGAGCCGTACTCCTCCTCAGAGGTGGATGTGTAATCTGAGCCCTGCTGCCGACGACGCGTGTCTTGAGTGGATTGGTTTCAGAAGCAAGAACAGAACAGAGCGGTGCTCAGACCTTCTGGCAGGGCCTCGCACGACAGGGCAGGCTGTGCAGCGACTGGCACTCCACACCCAGAAAACCCCGCCAGAAGCACCTGCCCCTGCCACACACCAGCAATGGTGAGGCCAGTGCCATTCGCGGCCCTGGGGTGAGTGTGCACCTTACAGACGGAAGCCAGCCCTTGGTGGACGCCCCGGGGAGTGTGCACCTTACAGATGGAAGCCAGCCCTTGGTGGATGCCCCGGGGAGTGTGCACCTTACAGAGGGAAGCCAGCCCTTGGTGGATGCCCCGGGGAGTGTGCACCTTACAGAGGGAAGCCAGCCCTTGGTGGATGCCCCGGGGAGTGTGCACCTTACAGACAGAAGCCAGCCCTTGGTGGATGCCCCGGGGAGTGTGCACCTTACAGAGGGAAACCAGCCCTTGGTGCCAGGGAAGGGTGCTAGGCAGAAAATGGGGTAAGCCTCTCACAAGGATCAGCCATGCCTTGGGGGGGGGAGCCTGTCCAGCGGGTAGGGATAGCCATGCCAGCCTAGGTTATGCATTCACCAGACAGCCCCGTGGGCAAAGCCTCTCATGTCTTTAGGGGCCATAGCATGGATGGACTCCTTGCCTAGCCCTTCAGCAGGTCTGAATAGGAAACACATGCTAAGTGATAGGGATGAGGGACAGCAGCCCACCAAGCAGAGGTCCTCCGCCCACAGCCACTATGACCGCCACCTGTCCCAGCCTGTCCAGCCAACAGCAGACAGGGTGGGGCTGAGGGCAGGAGGGCGGGGATGTTGCTGAAGCACCTCGCTTCATCAATCCACTCAGTCCACTCACGCTGCTTCCTGGACGGGAGGGCTGGCTCCACCCAAGGTCAGGGCCAGTTCCTGGGGGCGGGGAGGGGGGCTCCACCCGAGGTCAGGGCCAGCTCCAGGTGGCAGCCATCCCTTCTCATTTGGGCCTCAGAGCACAGGGTGGGGGTGCTTCTCATGGGGGGTGGCATAATCCTCCCCAACCACGGGTCTGTGGCTCAGAAGGTTGTGAGGCTCCACAGAGGGGCACAGACACATCCCCAGTAGCACGGGAGACAGAAGACCAAGGCAGAGCCCACTGAGGGCTGGAAAAGCCCTTGCTGTGCCCAGGTGGTCAGCTGTGTGGGCCTCACACATCTTCAGAGGCCCTGGAGAAAGAGAGCAGCAGGCCTACCCCACCATGGGGACCAAGAGGCACCAGTTGCACACGTGGCCTGTGCACATGTGCACATCTGCAAAAGGCACCCCCCAGCTTTGAGAAGTGACCCTGTTGGCAGCCACCTGCCCCCCCAGGTCGACTGCCCACCCCTTGGTACTCACTGGAGGAGCATCTGGCACCCACCCCTTGGTACTCACTGGAGGAGCATCTGGCACCCACCCCTTGGTACTCACTGGAGGAGTATCTGGCACCCACCCCTTGGTACTCACTGGAGGAGTATCTGGCACTGCCTGGTCGGGCACGGCTGAAGGGCTGGCGAGGGCCGGCATTGGCAGCAGCGGCAGCAGCCTTCCTGGCAGCAGCACGGGCCTCAGCCATGGTGGGCTTACGGCTGGTGCAGTACAGCTCTGCACTGCGGCCAGAGAAGCCAGTGCGGGTGGGGGTCACCTCTGAGTCACTGGGCCCCGTGAAGGAGCCGGCCCGCTTACGGGGCATGGCCAGGATGTCCAAGCGTGTCAGCTTCTTGGCCTGCTCTGTGGCTGGCCGGCTGGCCGGCTCAGGGTTGGCTGGGGGCCCCCGTTCACCATCCGCAGCCTCTGTGTCAGACGCCTCCCCGAGCCGGGCCCGCCTGAGCCGGGAGGCCCTGGTGGGCCTTGGGGTGGACAGGCTGTTGGAGCGAGTCAGTGCCTGCTGGACCTTCTGGGCACTGGTGGAGACACGGCTCTGCTCCTCGCGGGCGGCAGGGGAGGGAGGGGAGGGCGCTGGCTTCCGGCGGGGCCCTGGCTGACTGGCCCTTGTGGCCTCAGTGGCCTCGAGGTTGGAGGCGGCTGTGACTGAGTTGGGTGGGTTACTGGGGCCAGAACCTCGCTCCTCATCGGGCCAGTCCAGGGACCCTCGGGGCCCATGGCTGCGCCGCACAGCTTGGCGCCGTGCTGGCTCCCCACGGCCCAGGTCTGCTGTGCCCAGTGACCGGTGCGGCTTTTCTGACAGGTGCTCACGGGCCTCGCCCGGGCTGGCAGCTCCTGAGTCTGGCACCAGCGGTGGGGAGGACAGGCTCTCTTTCTGTGGTCCTAGGGCCTGCGGGGTCGTTGGGCTGGGTCCGTTCCTGCCGCTGAGCAGGCTGACGGTGCTGGCTGTGTCCACATCCGAGTCCCCGGACAGAGAGTCCTCCGGGGGCCTGGGGGCAGCCCCCTCGCCCTCTCCATCCGGTGGCTTGGAGAGCAGTCGGGCCTCGAGCGCCGCCAAGGCTGTCTCTGTCTCCTTTAAAATCAGGTGGGTATCCTGCGTGTGGAAGTCCATGCGTGAGGCCCGAGCTGCAGCCAGGTCCTGCAACAGGGGGTGGCTGGAGATGTGGGGGAGCTTGCCGGGCGCCGGGGGGCCACTGTCTGGCTCCTTAGTGAAACTCTCTTGTCGGACAAAGGCCAGGGCCTCCTTGGTAGGGGCTGGTCCAGGGCTGCTGGGCTCCGGGGACCGCCCAGGACGCAGCTGGATGACCATCCTCCCGCTAGGGCTGACATAGACGCCATCCTTCACTGGGAGGCCGGCTTGGGCTGCCCGCCCTGGGCCGTCTACCTCCCCAGGAGCCACCAACGGTTTCCGGGGGAAAGTGGCCTCCCCATTCTGGTCTCCAATGAAGAAAGAGGTGGGGGCTGGTTCCCCATGAGCCCGCTGAGAGTGCCGACCCCTGGTCCAGGCTGCTGTCTCTTGAGGCTTCACGTGCCTCTCCCCCTGCTGCTCCATGCCCAGCTCTGGGCCTCGGCCCCCATCTGACCCACTGGCATCACTGAGGCTGTCGGGGTCTAGGTCTTCCTGGCCTGGGAGGCGGCCAGCCAGCTCACTGCCTGGCTCTGGTAGCCCTGGCCCGTTCCTCCTGGTCACCTCAGGCCCGGCGGGGCTGTCAGCCCTGTCACTGGGCAGCTGAGGAAGCAGTCGCCGTGTACGCAAGGGCAGGGGCCCGTCAGACTCTCCGGTTCTGTGTCCAGGCCCATCCTCTGCAAAGCAAAAGGCCAGTCCAGTTACAGTGGCCACAGGCTCTATGTATGCACATGGGGCCCAACCTCCTGAGGCACAAGATGACATGGGCTCTGTCTGTGGCCAGTGCCAAGGCTGCCCTGGCATGGCCCCGAGTCACGTACCTGTGAAGCCCGGGTCCGAGTAGCTATCGGCCAAGCTGGCCCAGCGTGACACCCACTTCTGAGCCCCAGGTGAGCCTGGAACCAGGTGGCCCTGCAGAGGAGAGTATGGCATGGACCCCGGATGGAGCAGTGAGAGGCAAGCGCAGCAGACCTCACGTGGGCCTTGCGCCTGGCGGGACTGCCCTGCCAGAACACGCTAGGACAGTGTCTCACAGCGCAGCGCAGCGCAGGTCAGTGGCTGTAGCTGTGGCAAACTCCTGGATTCTGTCCAGCCTCCCTGGGGCAGCACATGCCTGGTGCTAACCAACTCAGGGCCTCAGCACCTGGCCCCAATCCCTCCCAGCTGGCACCCACCCCCCTGCCAGGAGAGTGGGCCTGGAGGAAAGGCCCAGCCAAGCCCCCTAACTTCGGGCCAGGCCCTTTTCAGAGGGGCTTCTGGGATTGTACCTGGTGCTCTGTCTGGGGGGCCACACCCGAGGGCCGGGAGGCAAACTCCTGCAGCAATGCCATCCTTTGGGCCACACCCTCATCCACAGACTCATCTCTGTCCCCTTTGATGACTGGGCGGAAGGTGGCTGAGGACACTCTGGAGAGTTCAGGGGCCTCAAACACCCCAAACACCTGCCAGAGAGAATGGCACAGAGGGCCAGAGGAGCCCAGCCATCCAGTTGGGCACCTCAAAGGGGAAACAGGCCCAGCCCTGGCACAGCACAAGGCAGGGCCAGAGGGCAGCTCAGCTTTTGAGGCCTCTCTCCTGTCCCCTCCTGCTTGGTTGGACCAGCCATACGAACTAGAGCAGGGCTGAAGCAAGCCAACATCCACCCACCACATGCCTACCAGCCCATACACCCCAACCCCCCACGATGCCTGCCCCTGCACCCACCACACCTGATCAATCATCTTCCGGGCCTCTTCCACCTCCCTGTCCTGCGCGTCTGTCTCGATGGTGTAGGTGCCTGCATCGCTCAGACTGTCGTCTTCCTCCTGTCTTCGTGCCTTCGTCAGCTGGGGGTCAGCAGGCAGGGGTGGAGGGGTTGGGGGGGCCACGGGGCTGGCTGTACGGGGTGTCAGGGGGGTGGGCAGCACTGGGGGCACCTTCTCTGGGCCTGACCGGGGGACTGGGGAGCTGTCGCGCAGACACTGGGCCATGAAGTCCTGTGCCAGGCGGGAACGGCGCCCCACGCTTCCGAAGGGGCGGGCTGGGGTGCGTGTGGCGGGCACAGAGCCGCCCAGCCGCTCCTCGGTCTTCTCCCTTTTGAGCGAGCTGGCCCGCTGGGGCCCCGCGCTGCCACCTGCGGGGCGGGCTGGGGCGCTGGGGCGCTCCCTGTCAGCAGTGCCTGGGCCACGGCGCTTGTCCACCTTGGGGTCCCCGGGCGGGGTGTGTGTGAAAGACTGTGAGCGCTTCTTACGAGGCGTGTCCTCGTCAAAGAACTCGATGACAAAGGCCTGCTGGTTGTGCAGCAGCTCCTGCGGGTCCCGCTTGATCTGCCTCTGCAGCCGCACCTGCTCCGCACCGGCCTCCGCAGGCGCCGTGGCCGCGGAGGCCGCCTTGGCCAGGGGGTCTTCGGAGTCGCTCTGCGTGCCGTCCTCATGCTTGTGGCCTGGGGACGCCAAACATCAGAAAACAGTCATCAGTTGTGGGAACATCACGTCTCACACCCAAAGGGCAGTGGACACACGTGGTCTCCTAGCACACAGAGCGGAGCTGTGCCACCAAGGCCTGCACGCTGCCCCTCCATCAAGCAGGGGTCCTCAGGAAAGTCATAGGAAAATGAAAACCAACCAAGCCACGTGACCATGCAGGCCTGCTCCCAGGCACAGTGGGCACCGGGAACAGACAGATGGGGTGCCCCCGGCCTGCTCCAGGCCTGCCCGAGCCTCCGATGAGCCCTCACCCTTCAGGGTCCGGCTGTGGACAGGCAGGTCACTCTTGGTGCTGTGGCGGTCGTCCCCAGGGCCTGGCCGGTGAAGCAGGCTGGGGTCATTCTGCACCAGCCAGTCGGCCACTTTGGTCTCAGCTGAGACCAGCTCCCCTGGGGAGGCCTCCCTGGCCGGGGGCCGCCGCTGTCGCAGGGAGAACTTGGTGATGTGGTCCTTGATCTTCACTTTCCCAGGGCTGCAGTCATCAAACTCAATGGTGAAGGAGGCGTGGCTCTGTACCACAGGGGCCGTCCCGCCGCTGCCAGCCTCCTTGTCCTTCGTGGGTGCCTCAGGGGTCTGCAGCGGCTGCGGAACCTCCTTGGTGGGAATCTCAAAGTAGCTGGGCTCACGCCGGAGTGCACAGCCCTGGTGCTCAGTGGTGGTGCGGAAGCCATCCAGCTCGCCACCCTGTGTCAACGGCTCCCTGGGACGCTCTGGGGGGAGATGTCCTCAGACCAGCCACCCTGCCTCCCTCTCCTCCCGCAGCTCCCTACGCACACCCCCTTCGTCTGCACTCTGCCATCACTTCAGGGCCCGGGCAGGGAGACCCACCTGGGTAGGGCTCCTCCTGACGCCGGTCCTCAGGTGTGGCGCTGTCATCCTCTCCCCACCAGGAGGGCTGCCCATACAGGGGCGTGCGGTAAGCCACTGCCTCTGCAGGGGGCGTTCAGACCCGAGTCACTGTGGCCCCAGAGCAGCCCCAGGGCCGCCCTCCAGGACCCCAAGCAGCTGTTGACCCCCACCGTCCCCATGGTGGGCTCCAAGCCCCTGTGTGTCTCCCACGGCTGTATCTGCTTGGAAGGCCGAGAAAGTGGCCTGTCCAGGCTGCACTGCCATGGCCTCGGTTGGAACCCAGCCACCATCACCGGGTGTGAGCACTCACAACCGAGACACTGACAGGTGCTCTGAGCAGCTCAGATGACTTTCTGGAAATCCTCCCAGTTCCCAGCGGTCTTTCAAAAGATGAGTAAAATCCTGCTGTCCCCGGAGGAAGAGCTGTCACTCCAGGCACACCTGTGGCCCCAGCAGACGCTGGTAGCTCACAGCTCTGCGTGGGAGCATGGGGTGGGCGTGGGAGCCGAGCAGGTGGAGGGCAAGGCGTAGCCCTCCTGCCTCGGCTCCTGCCCCCTACTTCTGACTTGCTGGAGGGCCACAAGGGTGGCCGGCTGGTGGCCCCTCATCTGGAGGAGGCTCACAGGCTGAGGAACCTGGGCATGCTCAGGCACACAGCCCACACAGAAGCTGTGCTGGCTGCTGAGAGGTGCCGAGACCAGGAGGGCCCGCAGAGGAGAGGGGTCACTGGGGAACTGAGCACAGGGAACACAATGGCTAGGGCAGGGCCTGGCGGTGGCCTGTCTGCCCACCCCTCCCTGGTCCATCCCTGTTCCCACCACCAAGACCTACCTGTGCCAGGCCTTCGGTCCCCTTTCTCTGGCCTGGGGTGGGTGGACTCACAGTAGGGTGTGGACTCCTGCAGGGGCTCACCCCTCTTGGGCAGGGAGCCCTTGACGCTCACCTGCAGCTGGCTAGTGTACTTTTCATGCTGTGGGCAGACAGCAGGGGTGCGGACCAGTGTCAGCCTGGGGACACCCTCACCCACGGCGGGTCCTGAGCATGAGACCGGCCCCTGGGGCCCAAGGTCCATGCTCAGGCATCTAGAACTTTGGGGACAGGTGGAGCTGGCTTTAAGGGGGAGGATGGAGCAGGAAGGCCCTGGGGACTTCTGCCCTCAGACTCCACCCAGGAGGCCCTCGGGGAGGAGGGCAGAGCCACCGGCCGAGTGTGCGAGCAAGGGCGCACGTGGCTCACGCGCGTCCCACCTCCGGCTGCAGGGGCCTACGATGGCCAAGGTGATTTGGAAGATGGGGCTAAGTAGAGCCTGCCTCACCAAGGGCCCCTGTGGAGCTCTGAGCAGAGCTCTGCACCCATACCCCCTGACCCTGGGGTATGAAGGGTGGCGAGGCCCTGACACGACTCCACCCAGAGTCCTCACACCCCACTGGGGCTCGGCCACACACGACGCTGGCACACTGGAATGTGCCATCCCAGAGGTGTTCCACTGACCTGGCCACTGCTCCTGTCCCCCCCACAGACCATGTCAAGATCTGCCTCTACGCAAGGAGTCAGTCAGGTGCCCATGGCTCAGCCCTATCATCCTAGCTACTTGGGAGGCTAAGTTCCAAGGATTGCAGTTCGAGGCCAAGTGAGTAACAAAGTCTGTGAGATTCTCATCTCCAATTAATCAAATAATCACAAAAAAACTAGAAGTAGAGCTGTGGATCCAGTGGTAGAACACCAAACTTAAGCACGAAAGTTCAGGGACAGTGTCCAGGCCATGAGTTCAAGCGCCTGGGACCAGCATGCATGCACGCGTGCGCACGCACGCGCGCACACACACACACACACACACACACACACACAGGGGGCCCACAGGCTTTGAGAAGTCACACCTCACCTCACTTCACCCACCAGTGGTGTACTTTCCTCCTAGCAGGCGACCATCTCTCCTGCCAGCTGACCCCCGCAGGCCCCTGGACTTCCCATTTCCCTGCACAGCCTGTCGATAACTCTCTGAGCTACAGAACCAAACTCCACCAGAATGGCACAGAAAGCCCTCTCAGCAACAGGAGGCCGGCCACTCAGCCCTCTCTCACTCTACCCTGCCCCAGCTACCCCTCTGCAAGCCTGGAGAGAGTAATGGCTACTTCCCCACCTGCTAGACTGGGTCTTCAGGCAGAGCAGGCCAGGCCAGGCTGATTCATGGCACCCTAGCCAGGATGGGGTGCCTAGGGACCAGGGGAATGTTTGCAGGGAGAGAGGGCAGCAAAAGCAGACAGGGCTGAGCCCTACTGGCCAGAGATCCCCACGGGGCCTGGCCGCACCTACCTTGAGCGCCTCCTCGGGGACACGGTGCTGCACGCGCTCCAGCACATACATGTTAGAATGTGGCTGCGCTAAGGAGAACACAGAGCAGAGTCGAAGGACCTGTGTCCTGGAGACCAGAGGCTCTGGCCCACATCAACAGGAAGGCTCCTTCCTGGGGAAACCCAGCACACACACACGCACGCACACGCACACGCACGCACATGCACATACACACGCATGCACACGCACACGCATGCACACACATGCACACGCACATACACACGTGCACACACACGCGCGCACGCACACACATGCGCATACACACGCACATACACACGTGCACACACGCACACACACCAAGCTAGAACATACCATGTCTAGCCTGAGGGCCTCAGAGTCAAGCCAGGACTGAGTCCCAAAGAGTAGTCAGCTGCCCCCCAAGCCCTGTGTGACCTCAAGGCTGGGACCCCTAGCAAACAGCCATCAGGACACCCACGCCTCACTTCTGGGTAGTATGAGTGACTGTAGCGTGGGCCCCGTGGAAGAGCAGAGGGGATTCCTCAGGGCAAGGATATCATAGCCGAAGCGGATGACATCATTGAGCTTCAGTGTGACGTACTTCTGATCTGGGATGCGCACCTCGTTCACAAATGTCTGTAAAGGGAAGGTGGTGCTGAGGCTGGGCAGGGCACGGCAGGGCAGGGCAGGGCAGGGCAGCAGCTGGTGCTTGCAGACTGTCCCAGCCTCCCCGGACCCTGGCTGAGCTCAGAGCCTGTGAACAGACCTCTCTGCTGGTCCTTCAGAGCCCAGGTGCCCAAACCAGGCTGGTACAGGAAGTACCCTCAGGGACCCTTGAGCCCATACAAGTGCCAAGGGCCAGTACCCTCAGGGACCTCAAAGCCATACAAGTATGGTAGTGGTCTGCTCACCACACGGCCTTCCCTATCACAGCTACTACTTCTGAGGGTGGGCAGGGAAGAAGCCTGGGGCTAGCCTCAGCAGGGCCTGGAGCCCCCTGGTGGGGAGCCCCAGGTGGGCTGCTGAGGGTAGGGTCCAGGGCCACATGGAGGCTGGCCTCCTGGGATGCTAGGGACTCCACTCAAGATCCCACAGGCAGGAATGAGATGGAGCCGGTGGCCCGTGTCCATCAAATGCAGAAAGAAATCCAGGGATGTCCAGATAGGCTGCTCCAGGAGAGACAGACGCCCTTGGCCCTGCACAGGGCCTTCTTTGTCCTTCTGGCCTGCACACCCGGCTCACTCTCCCCAAGCTATAGTCAGGACTTTCCTCCTGACCTCTTCCCTGCCCTGGTCACCCCTAACTCTCAAAAAGGTTCCATGCCAGCACCCAGCAGAGCTCGTCTCCCTGCTCAGCACCTCCCCCTCCTACTCTCAGCAGGACAGCAAGAGCGGGGCTGGGGGCAGGGCTGGGGGAGCTCGGAGGGGTCGGGGGAGAGGCAAGGCGCAGGGCAGGGGCTCCAGGACTGGCTGTGGTGGAGGGGAAGAGGCCTGTGGACGGCTGCCGGCCCCGAGGACACTCACCCCGTTGAGGCTGCCCAGGTCTTTCACCCAGTGCTCGTCACGGTCCTGGTCGTAGTTGATGACAGCATGCTGCTTGTCCACGCTGCGGGACTAGGGAGGCACAGGGCTCTCAGGCACCACCCAGAGGTCCCAGGACAGGGCTGCCCCAGCCCCCGGGAGGCACCCCTAGGCTGGCGTGCCCGTCACAGCACCAGCTCTCCTCCTGAGCCTGGGGACCGCAGCCATGCGCGCACACAGTGTGTGCACCACTGAAGCCACCAGCGAGATACCAGCCCCCCCGCACAGTGCTGCCGTGAGGTCCTCCCCTGTGATCACTCTCCCCCACATCCTGCGCCAGGCCCAGGCGTGGGAACCTCTCTGGTCATCTGGGACAGGCCATTCCCTCCCAAGGGCAGGCGGGGGTGGCCAGCACAGAGTCCAGAGAAGGTTACAGGAGGCTGATGAGGGAGGGAGCAGTCCTCCCCCAAGTCCACAGAGCACTGCAGCCCGTGGTGCTCCTGCAGTCCCCCCGCCCGGCTCCCTTGACCCCCACACCAGCCTGCCCCTACACACACACACACACACACGGGGACTTCCACCCTGAGCTCTCTCATCTTCCCTGGAACCCCTCCCAAGGACGGCCACCAGCTTCCTTATGGTCTCGGGTCCAGGTGCAGGATCATAGCCAAGAGCCCCCACCCCCTACTCCACCCAATTCCCTATCAGGACACAGGCAAGGACAGGGACATGGTCTATTAGGTATCACCAGTATGAGCCCATTGTCAGCCAACCCCCCTCCATCCCATGCCACCTGTCACCTGCTGGGCACCTCCTGTCACCCCTGCTGCCTGGGGCCCAGCAGCGGCAGCGGCAGCAGCAGCAGCAGCGGCGGCAGCAGCAGCGGCGGCAGCAGCAGCGGCGGCGGCAGCAGCAGCAGCAGCAGCAGCAGCAGCAGCAGCAGCAGCAGCGGCAGCTGACTCAAGGAAGCCACCCAGCCTTCAGCCCAACCAAGGAACAAGGGTGAATGGCAGCCGGGATTCAGGCAGCTTCCTGGGGACCATCCACACAGCAGTCCCTTAAGACAGGGAGGTCCATCTCTGTGCCTGCCAGGAGAAGGGCACCACGGCCTTCCTCCAGGTGCAGGGCCACTCCCACCCATGACCGGTGGGCTGGTTAGGCAGACCACCTCCACCCAGCTGGCCACACGGCAGAGTCCCTCTCCAAGGACCAGCACCCCAGGACAGGGCCTCTTCCTCAATCAGAGACAGGGCACTCAGCAGGGGCTGCGGAGAGGGACATGGCCCCTGTCCCTGCCCGGCCCCCACCATCACCCAGCAGAGCCAAGGCCTCAGCTCTGGCCCTAGCAGGGAACTAGAGCAAGACTTAGACACAGCCCTGGGGCTGGGCAGGCTGCGCGGCCTGTGGCCTGAGCCCCAGCCTGTCACCTCAGGAGTGAGTGCTCACAGCCTCCAAGCAGGCAGCTGGCCCATCGGCCACTGCAGAGGAATGGGGGCGGGGAGGGCAGATTGCACAGGAACCCGCACAGAAGGGGGCAGAGAAGACAGAATGAGGAGCAACAGGAGTGGGGCCTGGACCCCGGGCCTTCTTGGAAGTGGGAGCTGCAGTGATGTGATGGGAGAGTCCTGCAGTGGCCATTCCTGAGTGACTTCCACTGGTTGTGGGAGGGTCATGGCTCAGCCTACCCAAAGCCGCCATGGGCATCAGCAGACTGCCCCCAGAGCAGATCTGGGGCAGAGTGGGTTGCTGACATTGAGATCTATAGCCCTGCCACCAGATTCTACCTCTAACTTGGTCCAAATTCCTCACCCAAGGCTGGTACTCACAGCAAGCTGCTCCTTCCCATCCCCGTCCTGGAGGGCACAGGCCTGGGGTCATGCCCACCCCTGGCCCTTCCATGAGGCCTCCAGCCTGTCCCCTGAGGACTTGGGGAGAAGGGGTGCTCACCCAGGACACTGCCACTTCTTTCTTTAAGGCTCCAGGCTGGGGCAGCCAAGGGAGCACCCCTCCCGCACCTGGCTGCAAGAGGGTCCACACAGGCCCCCATTCATGCCTGGTCTGCCCGCCTACTCCACCACTGCTAGCCAGGGCTCCATTCTCAGATACTGCTAGCCAAAGCCCTCCTGGAGAACAGGAGTGCCAAGACCCAGGCCCTCTCCCAGAAACCTCCCTCCTGCCTAACTCCTCAGGCTGAAGCAGATCCTACCCAGCCAAGCCACATGGTCTACAAGCCCGCCCACCATGCAGCAACCCCACCCCAGAGCTCAGGCTCCGACCCAAACCAGGAGCGGTGGAAAAGAACAAGGCCATGGGGAAAGGAGGCGGCAAATGCAGGCATAACCATCATCTATGTGTGCTCACTCAAAGTGGAACAAAGATGTGTTTCCAAGCTTCACGCCTGAACTCTGTTCTGGCTGAGCTGGCCCTCCCAAAGCACACTCCAGCAGACCCGCCTCCCGCTGGCCCATCCCGGTCGCCACCATCAGCAGGCTGACTGGACTGGCGCTGAGTGTAGGGGCTCCACGGCTACTCTGGCTATGATTTCTGCATTGGGTTGTGCGGGTTCTCATCCTGGCTGTCACACAAGCCAGGGGCAGCCAAAGGGTCGATGGACTGGAGGCAGAGAAGACTGCTGCCCTAACCGGCAGCACACTCTTCAAAGGAAGCCCTTCCTGCCTGACCCTCAGCCTGGCCATCCCTGCCGCTCCTCACCCCGGGCCCCCAACCGGGCTCACCATGCCACCTTCTTTGCATGTCTCCCCAGAGGAGTGGGGTTTGGTAGGGAGACATCTTGGTTCTGGCTGGTATGTGAGCTACTTAGGCCGTGGCTGAGTAGACAGATATGGGGATGACTGTAAGGCCACCAGAGGCAAATGGATTGTGGTGGGGATGAGGGTGGAGAGCAGCAGAGGCCAGGGGCACATGGTCAGATCCTGGAGACCCAGGGTGGTGTGGAGGACCTGGGCGCTTCTCTGTACATGGGGTAGGTGTACTTGGGAGTGCTGGGATTTGGGGGGGGCCTGGGCTCTCCTCTGTATGTGGGGTGGGCAGACTCGGGGGAGCTGGGATGTGGGGGGCCTGGGCTCACCTCTGTATGTGGGGTGGGCAGACTCGGGGGTGCTGGGGTGTGGGGGGCCTGGGCTCACCTCTGTATGTGGGGTGGGCAGACTCGGGGGTGCTGGGGTGTGGGGGGCCTGGGCTCTCCTCTGTATGTGGGGTGGGCAGACTCGGGGGTGCTGGGGTGTGGGGGGGCCTGGGCTTTACTCTGTATGTGGGGTGGGCAGACTCGGGGTGCTGGAGTGTGGGGGGCCTGGGCTCTCCTCTGTATGTGAGGTGGGCAGACTCGGGGGTGCTGGGGGGGGGCCCTGGGCTCTCATCTGTACACGGGGTATGGACTCAGGGGATGCTGAGGTGTGGGGGGCCTGGGCTTTCCTTTGTATGTGGGGTGGGTGGGCTGGAGGTACTGGGATGTGGGGGGACCTGGGCTCTCTTCTGTGCGTGGGTAGGCAGACTCAGGATGCTGGGGTGAGGAGGGCCTGGGCTGTCTTCTGTACATGGGGTGGGCAGACTCGGGGTAGTCGAGTGGCAGGGATGCAGGCGGGCATAGAAAGCGGCAGGCTGGGGCTGCCTTCGAGAGGCCCCAGTGCAGCCAGGGAGTAGGAGGCTAAAGCTGGGGACAGGGTGGACGTAAAATGGGATGAAAGCCATCTACCACCAAGCAGGAGCTGAGGCCACAGCGCCATGGGACAGAGGAGAGACCTGAGGGCCTGGAGAGGTGACCCCTAAGGGAGGGCGTGGAAAGAGGGGCCACATGGGAGGAGAGGAGGGGCTGTCGGCTGGAGATGGGGGGGAGAGAAGGGGAGATGGAGTATTCCCAGCAGGGGTGGCCCCATGGGGAGCCAAGAGAAGAGGCCACAGGACAGCCCAGGCTGAGAGGGCAAGGGCGGTGGTGGGAGGCCAGCAAGGGTGCTGCGCCGTCTGCGCTCTGCACCTGCACAACCTCCCTGAGCCTCAGCTTCCCCGTGAAGAATGAAGACACCTTTGACATGGCCACCTGCCCCAGGAGAGGGAGGGACGCAGCAGAAGTACCCAGCCAGGGGCTGCACGGGACCTGAGAGGATCCTGCCCAGGGCTCCACCAAACAGCCCAGAAACCAAGAATCAGGCCTCACACACCTCTGGGCACTCTGGGACCCCAGGAGAGAGTAGAGGAGAGCTGGGGCTGGGACAGGAGTGTCTGGGGGACCCACACACACCAGGCTCCCTCTGGGCTCTCCAAAAGACCCCAAAGCCACTTCTTCCAGGGAGCCCTGCTGGCCACCCTGGGGAAACAGCACAGCCATTACCAGTGCCATGCCACACATGGCCCACACCGTGCCGTGCCAGGGGGACACTCGCTGGGTCTAACCCTGGGCACAAGGCAGGTGGGGTGCAGCTGGCAGCCTCGACCTGTCTTACAGTCTTGATGCTTTTAAATACCAAAGACTTACTTCATGAGGTGGGACAACTACAGGACACTGAAGCTCAGCCTGGTGTGTTCCCATGCACCCATGCCGCTCTCAAACAGCCGCAGCCACGCCACAGGGTCGCAGGGTAAGACACGGCCCACAAAGCCCTTCACACAACACACCGACCACTCCAAGGCCAAGAGTGCGGTGCTTCTCACAGGAGCCTGGGCCCCAGCACCCTACTGCTAGAAGTGTGCTGGGTTTTAGAAGACAACGGGGAGAAGCTGGGATGTCCAGCTTTGGTCCACCATGTGCTGTGACAAGAGACCTTGGACTGGGGAACTGGTAAGCAACAGAAACAGGGGGCTGACGCCAGGATCAAGATCCAGAGAGGGCATCTTCTAGCTGTGCCCTTAACTGGTGGAACTGGAAAACAGGATCCCTCCCCTTCATGCTCTACCCACCCCTCTGGTGCCCCCACCTCTTAACCCACCCTACTGGGGACCAAATTTAACACACCAAGTTCAAGGACACAACAGCACAGATGCCACAGAGTACTGCTGGAATGGGCAAGCCTTGGACAGAGGGGCATAAACATTCTCTGCCCAGCTATCTGTGCCTGGGACCAGCCCCGTCAGCTGAGCCCAAGCCCAGCCCATCTGGTCAGAGCCTCATATGGTTAGAATTACACAGAAGGGTCTGAGTGAGGCCATAGCCAATCTAGACCACCACCTGGTCAGCATGTCTGTATCAGCTGGAAGAGATGGAGCTATCCCCACCCCTGCAAGGGTCTTCTTTTCCTCCCAAGAACTCCATGGGGGACAGGGAGCTCAGGGGGCTCTGGGCCGGGAGCCATGTGCCCTGCTGGAGTAGGGGCAGGTCAGGGCTGCAGGGAGCCTGCCTCACACGCGTGCGCGGGGAAAGGAAGCCCAGGCAGGGCCAGCAGCCCACCCTCACTCGTTACCTCACAAGTCAGATACAGGAGCCGCAAGAAGCTAAACTCAGACCTCACACCAAGGACAGAGCTTTCTGATTGCCAAACCCAGCTCCCCCCACCCCCACTTCCCGCCTCTAAGGCCCAGGAAAAAACATCTCCTGCCAGAGTCTCATCAAAAGGTCACCAGCCTCCATCTGAACCCAAGAGGCTGGCGTCGGGCAGGTGATGGTGACAGTAAAGACGTAGGCATGCGTGCTCCAGGCCCTTCCACAGACCACACAGCATCTGCAGCAGGATTCCTTCCTGTTCCTCCTGGACTCCCAGGGCCTTGGGCTCCAATAGGAGCCCAGCACCCAGCTCCCCCATGCAGAAGTGGAGACTGTGCCTCTAAGAGCAAGCTGCCCAGGAGGATCCAGGTTCCAGCTGGCACCACAGCCTCCTTGCCAGGTGTCCTGCAGCGGACGGGGAGACATGTACCTGGGCCCAAGGTCCCGCTTTGCCCACTTACCTGCAACATGAGTTCGCACTCATCGCGCCCCACGAAGATGAGCTCTCGCGGGAGCCGGTGGCGTGTGCCACTGCTGCTCACCAGGAACCAGGACGTGACACTCATCTTGGCACTCAGGAGGCCCAACTGGTCCTGGAGGGGGGACAGTCATCAGAGTGGGCTCCCTGGCCCATGCCTCTGTCCCCTGGACATGCCCTAGGCTAGCACAGATGGGCTCTTGGAGGCACGCTGGCTGCTTCCAGAAACACTGGATTCCAGCCACACCAGGCCACTCACCCCAGCAAGCCCCACCCCTAGGCCTTTGTTCTGAATGGTCAGCCCTCCCCCTCCACCAAATCAGTGACACTCACCTGCCCCCCTCACTTCCCCTCCTGTGTCCTCTGCTCCCACTACACCACCCCTCTGCTCTCAAGCCCAGGTTCCTGTGTATGAATCCACATTCTCATGACCCACTGCTCATACCATGACCAGGAGGTCCACTCTTCTAGCCGGACACACAGAGTGTGAGGCAAGAAGGAAGCCTTTGGAGCCCACACCGGCTCCATCGCGGCAGGGCTCCATCGCGGCAGGGCGTGGGACAGAGTGAAAAGGCGGGCCTTGAGTAACTGAGTACAATGGCTAAAGCCCACAACCCCAGCTCTGGGGGAGGAGCATGGCTCAAGGCCAGCTCCATCTCCACCAATGGCTAGACAAAGCGACACACCCCTGTCATCTCAAGCTACAGGAAAAGTCCAATGCAGGTAACTCACACCTGTAATCCCAGCTACTCAGGAGACTGAGATCCAGAGGATCACAGTTCAAAGCCAGCCTCTGCAGACTCTAATTACAAACAAAACAAAACAACAACAACAACAACAACAACAAACCAGGCTGGAGGTGAGATTCAAGTGGTGCCAGCTGAGCAAGCAAGCTGAACAAGTGTGAGGCCCTGAGTTCAAACCCTGGCACTGCCCAATAAAAATTTAAAATAAAATTTAAAAAGCCAAGCTACAGAAGGGGCAGAATGACTGGGCACAGTGGCACATACCTGCTATTCCAGTGTCAATAAGAGAAGCCAGGCCTGCCTAGGCATTATGACACCCTATCTCAAATACAACCAATGCAGCCAGGCACTGGTGGCTCACGCCTGTAATCCCAGCTACTCAGGAGGCTGAGATCTAAAAGCCATGACTTGGAAGCCAGCCAGGATAGGAAAGTCCAAGACACTTTTATCTCCAATTAGCCACCAAAAAGCCAAAAATGAGTTGTGGCTCAAGCAGTAGAGTACTAGCGTTAAGGAAAGGAATAAAAAGGAAAAAGAAAAAGAAAAAAAGCTCAGGGCAGCATCCAGGCCCTGAGTTTAAGCCCCAGGACTAGCACCAAACATAACAACAAAGGCAAAAATGGGCAAGGAGAGTGGTTCAAATGGTAGATTATTTGCTTAGCAATGTGAGGTCCTGAGTTCAAAGCCTCAGTACTGCCAACAATGAAAATAAAAATGTGTGGGACTGGGAAGGTGGCTCAGTGGTAGAGCGCTTGCCTTGCATGCATGAGGCCCTGGGTTTGATTCCTCAGCACCACATAAGCCAAAAAGAAAAAAAAAAGCTGGAAGTGGCGCTGTGGCTCAAGTGGTAGAGCGCTAGCCTTGAGCTGAAGAGCTGAGGGACAGCGCCCAGGCCCAGAGTTCAGGCCCCACGACTGGACCCAAAAAAATAAATACATAAAATAAAAATGTGGCCTCAAGGAAGTGGCACTGTGGCTCCAGTGGTAGAGCGCTAGCCTTGAGCTGAAGAGCTGAGGGACAGCGCCCAGAACCAGAGTTCAAACCCCATGACCACCAAAAATACAAAAAACAAACAAACAAAAAAATGTGGCTCAAGATCAGAGCATGTACCCAAGTAGGGGTGTGTGTGTGAGCTCTGTGCTGGCATGTGGGTCCTGTGCTCACTGGGCCACGTCTGGGCCTCTTGAGCAACTTGGGAATATCAGAACAGCTCACATGGGTGGAGGTGGGGCTGAGTGGAGGAAGGCTTGACTAGCAGGTACAAGGCCTAGGCTCCATCCCCAGCACCACAAAACAAACAACAACAACAAGCTGGAGCGAGCAGGACTAGTCAGAAGGTAAGGGCGGTAACCCGGAGAGACGTGAAAGTGGCCAGGCCCCTGGGGGCAGTGGAGGGAGGGCAGGGCCATGCACACACAGTTTGGGTGTGGACTCAGGGGCCAAGGCCACAGTGAGGAAGGACTCTCAGGTCCTGGGCCATTGCTGAATATGCACATGCACATAAGGTCACACACAGGCATTAGAGTCTGGTCCTGGGGCCGCGCTCCTCCAAGAACATGCGTGGCCCTCAGTCCTAAGGTGACAGGCCCTGCCCTGCAGTGCTCATGCCGGAGCTCTTTGGCTCTGTCTTCCAAGTGCCTGTCTGTGAGTGCTGACGTGTCCCGTGCCACACATCACCTCGGACGAGCAAGAGGAAGATGTAGGAAAATCTGCACGGAGACAGGTGGCCAAAAAACCCTCCACCGGGGGACCCCTGTTCTTCCCTAGCCCAGCCTCCAGAGAGGCAGGCCCTGGAAGCCAAGGAGGTGAGACCTTGAAGCTCCCGCAGACCCCAGGCGCCCCGCAACCCCGCCTCCCTGCAGGCCCAACCCTGCGAGGGGCAGGGCAGAGCTGCGGAGCCCCCGCCCGCCCCGGCCCCTCCGGACGCCATCCACCCAGGTCTGCCGTCACCTGCTGCCCGCTCCCCCGGAGGCCGCGGGCCTCTGCTCACAGCGAGGAGAGGCCGAGCCCGGCGTCGGAACCAGGCCACGCCGAGGCCAACCGGTCCAGAAAAGGCCTGGGAGGGCCGCGCTCCCGGGCCCGCGCTCCCGGGCCCGCACTAGGCTGGCCGGCCCACGTTGCTAGGAGGGGAAATAATCAACCCCCAAACCCGCCGCCCCAGCCGGGATGGCCACCGCCCGGAGGTGAGCGGGGAGCGGGGAGGATGCGCGACGGAGGGTGGCAGCCAGGCCAGCGGGCGGGCGGCCGGGGCGGGCAGCCCGCGGCGGCGGCCCGGGGAAAGGAGGAGGGCGGGCAGGGGGAGGGGAAGGGGGGAGGAGGGCGGGGAGGGCGGGACCGGACCGCAGGAGGACCGGGCGCGAGGGGGAGGCCGCGAGGCCCGTGGGGGAGGGCGCGCCGCGGTGCCCGCGTCCTCGAGGGCCGCGCCGGGCGGGGACCGGCGCCCCGGCGGGTCTGCGGAGCGCAGGCCGCGCGCACGGCGCCGGGCCGGGCCCAGCGAGCGGCGCCCGGCGGCCCCGCCCGGCGCGGCGCGGCGCCCGCACCTCCGCGGCGGGGAGGCCCGGCCCGGCGCGGCCAGGTGCACCGGGCCGCCCGCAGCCCTCGCCTCGCCTTTGTCCGGGCCCGGCCCAGCCCCGCGGCCCGACGCGCCCGCCCCGCTCCCGGGGCCGCCGGGAGGCGCACAGGTGCGGCCCGCAGGAGGCCCCGGCCGCGCGGGCTCGGGGGCTGACGTCCGTCCTACCTGTGCGGCGACTCGGGCAGGCCCGGCTCGCCCGCCCGGCCCCGGCTCGGCCCGGCCTCCCGCCCGGCCCGCCGCGCGCTGGGCGGGGCCGCCGCCTAGGACATGCCTGGCGCGGCCCGCACGCTGGCGGCAGCCCCGGCCGAGTCCACGGCGGAGCGGCGGCCCGCGGACGCGCGCGGCGGCTCCTTGACGTCCCCCGGCGGCGCGCCCCGCCCCCTGCACGCCCCGCCCGTCCCGATCACGCCCCGCCCCTCCGATTCGCCCGTCCCGCCTGCGCCCCGCCCCAGACACGCCCCTCTCTGACTGGCTCCGCCCCCGCCGGAAACCAGGTTAAGGCCGCGGGCGGCGGCGGCCAGGTGAGCTCACCCTCGCTGACTCCGCCCCTGGGGCCCTTGGGCCGCGCCCTCGCCCCGCCCACCCCTTTCCCCCCTTCTCCCACCTTCCCACCTGCCCCCTCCCCCGCCCACCTCTGCCCAACTCCCGCCCACCTCCCCCTCCCCACTGCCCCGGCACGCCTGCCTGCTCCTCCCCGCGGCCCCGGCGCCCCGCCCCTCCCGGGCTCCGGCGCGCACGGCAGCCGGCCGGGCGTCACGGTTCAGGCCGGCCGGTCAGCGCTTAACCACGGCCCCGAGCCCGGCTGCGGCCGCCTCCCCGCCGCGACCTTCGCCCCACGGCGGCGCAGGGGCGGCGCAGCCACCCGGCCCGCGCGGACCCCCTCCCGGCCCCGCCCGCGAAGCCCTGTTTCCGGCTGGGCCGGGCACCGGGCGCCCGCGCCGTCCCACCTGGACGCCCGCGGCGGGCGGAGCTTGGGGCCGGCCGGGCGGGCGGGGGACGCCGCTGCCCCGCGGGGTGAGGGCGCGGGCGGCGGGCGGGGCGGAGGAGGGCGGCAGGTGAGGCGCCGGCCCCGCCCGGCCGGGCCCCGCGGGTAGGACGAGCCCGGCTGCCCGCCCCGGCGCCAGCGCGAGCGGGACGGCGGGCACCGAGGGGCCGCACCCCGAGGGGCTCCCGCGGGCGCAGGGCCGGGGCTCGGCCTGCGCTTACTCCGTCCCGGGACAGCTCGGGACACCTGGCCGAGGCCTGTGCCCGCGAGAGCTGCTCGGACCTGGGGCGGGAGCCGCGGCGCGCGGGGAACGGGTGACACCTCCCGTCCCCTGCCCCCCAGACGCCTTCCCTGACGTCACTGCCCCCCAGACGCCTTCCCTGACGTCACTGCCCCCCAGACGCCTTCCCTGACGTCACTGCCCCCCAGACGCCTTCCCTGACGTCACTGCCCCCCAGACGCCTTCCCTGACGTCACTGCCCCCCAGCGCCACCCCTGACGTCACTGCCCCAAGACGCCTTCCCTGACGTCACTGTCCCCCAGCTCCACCCCTGACGTCACTGCCCACTGCCCCCCAGCGCCACCCCTGACGTCACTGCCCACTGCCCCCAGCGCCACCCCTGACGTCACTGCCCCCCAGAGGCCTTCCCTGACGTCACTGCCCCCCAGAGGCCTTCCCTGACGTCACTGCCCCCAGACGCCTTCCCTGACGTCACTGCCCCCCAGAGGCCTTCCCTGACGTCACTGCCCACTGCCCCCCAGCGCCACCCCTGACGTCACTGCCCCCCAGACGCCTTCCCTGACGTCACTGCCCCAAGACGCCTTCCCTGACGTCACTGCCCCAAGACGCCTTCCCTGACGTCACTGCCCACTGCCCCCCAGCGCCACCCCTGATGTCACTGCCCCCAGAGCCACCCTTGACGTCACTGCCCCCCAGCGCCACCCCTGATGTCACTGCCCCCAGAGCCACCCCTGACGTCACTGCCCCCAGCGCCACCCCTGATGTCACTGCCCCCCAGCGCCACCCCTGATGTCACTGCCCCCCAGCGCCACCCCTGATGTCACTGCCCCCCAGCGCCACCCCTGATGTCACTGCCCCCCAGCGCCACCCCTGATGTCACTGCCCACTGCCCCCAGCGCCACCGCTGACGTCACTGCCCCCCAGAGTGCCATTCCTGATGTCACTGCCCACTGCCTCCAGAGTACCTCCCCTGACGTCGTCACTGCCCACTGTCCCCCAGCTCCTCCCTGCTCTGGGACCCCACACCTCCTGTCCCCCCATCCCCTTGGTCAATGGCACGTATCAAAGCCCCTTTTGTTTTTCGATGTGTGGATTTCTTCTGGTATCCTGACTTGGTCCGCAGTGAGAAGAGAAGTAAGGATGTGGCGCAGGTGCTGCCTGGAGTCCTGGCTAGCTGTCACTGGGCTTGGTTCTCAGAGGAGGAAGGCAGGCTGCACAACCTGGCCCGTTGGGTGATCTGGCCAGTGGCATTTAGGAGCTGAGAACAGCTCCAGTCGTTGCCAGTCAATGGGGGGAGGGGGAGAGGACCCTTCCTTTAATTCATGCTAGGAACCCAGGAAAGTAAAACCAAGGAGGGCCAGGGGCCAGTTCCCCCAATGGATCCGTAACTGACTACAACACCAGTAAAATTCGCTTCCAGTTAGTTTAGCAAGTACATGAGCAGTTCTAAATCCCATAAGGAGATACAGGTGCAAGAAGGAAAATCCTTGGCAGGCTTTGAGCAAGCACAAGACACACACATGCCCTGTCAGCGCATTGCACAGAGTAGGGCCATCCCAAACCATGCAGGGAAATGCAAACCACAACCACAAGTGCCGAAGGAGCGGCGTGAGGAGAGACCAGAGCCCTATGTGCATGTTGACGGAAACGGCCATTCCTTCAGAAATTAAACATTACCAAGGCCGGGGCTGGGAAGGTGGCTCAACGGTACAGTGCTTGCCTTGCATGAATGAGGCCCTGGCTTCAATTCCTCAACACCACATAAGCAGAAAAAGCTGGAAGTGGCACTGTGGCTCAAGTGGTAGAGCACTGGCCTTGAGCCAAAATGCTGACAATGCCCAGGCCCAGAGTTCAGGCCCCATGATCAATCTAAAAAAAAAAAAAAATGACCAAGGCCAGGTACTGATGGCTCACAGCTGTAATCCTGGCTGCTACGGAGGCTAAGAATGGGGGAATTGTGGTTTCAGGTCAGTTAGTGCAGGTAAGTTTGCAAGACCCCTTCTCAACTCATAGCTGGGCACGGTGATGCATGCCTGTCATCCTAAACTATGTGAGGGGCTGGAATTGGGAGGATTGTGTTCCAGACCAGCCCAGGTAGAAAACCAGATTCCATCTCAGCAGAGGGAGGCTGAAGCCCATTACCCCAGCAATTACAAGAAGCCCAAAATAGAGAGATTACAACCTGGGTGTGCTGGAATAGAGGATCGAAGTCCAGGTGTGCTCCCTGATAGGAAGTGACACTCTTATCTTTAAAAAGTAACCAGTGAAACTGGGCAGTGGTGGTTTATGCCTAAAGCCCTAGCTACTCAGGCGGCTGAAATCTGAGGATCGTGGTTCAAAGCCAGCCCAGACAGAAAAGTCTGTGAGACTCTATCTCCAATTACCCACTAAAAAGCTGGAAGTGGAACTGTGGCTCAGTGATATAGTGCCAACCTTGAGCAAAGAAGCTCAGGAATGGTGCCTAGGACCAGCAAAAAAAAAGTGAAAAATAGCTGGAGGCATGGCTCAGCTATAGAGCAATTATGAGGCTCTGAATTCAAACCCTAGTAGCACAAAAAATTACCATATGATCAATATTCCAAAAATAATTGAAAACAGTTATATAGGAGTTTGTGCATCCATCTGTAGACTTGCGGTCTTTTGCCACAGAAGCAGCAGGCGTGCAGCTGAGCTGGTTGTGAGGGATTTGGACAAGGTGTTGGCTGGGCCTGGAAGGAACCAGCCCCAGGAGACCAGGCTGCTCCCTGAACAGAGGGGAGCAGGCCTTCATTGGTATGTGGGTTCCACATCTCACCAGACATCCGGTGTTCAGGAGAATGAGGTACAGAAGAAGCCGCCTCCCCTATGGAGAGTGTGTACTCAGAAGACCAGTTTTAACCCACAACCAGCATGTCTTCATGCAAGGCTGAATTGTTCTTGATCCAAAAGTTGATGATGTTTCTATCGGTCGTCCAACACCCTCAGGCCAAGCAAATCAACCTCAGATCCCTGAAACATAACCCGGGTGCCTGTTACCAGTCAGAGTGCTGTCCATAGCACAGATAGGAGGGAATGGATCACGTGTGGCCAGCTGCATAGATGCCAGCATTGCCGATCTTTTTTTTTTTTTTTTTTGTCGGTCGTGGGGCTTGAACTCTGGGCCTGGGCGCTGTCCCTCAGCTCTTCAGCTCAAGGCGAGCACTCTACCACTTGAGCTACAGCGCCACTTCCGGTTTTCTGGTGGTTTATTGGAGATAGGAGTCTCACAGTTTCTTCTGCCCGGGCTGGCTTTGAACCGCGATCCTCAGATCTCAGCCTCCTGAGAAGCTAGGATTACAGGCGTGAGCCACCAGCGCCCGGCAAATTTTTGTTGTGTATTATTATTATTTTTTTTTTTTTTGGGTCCCGTAGAGGGCCTGAACTCTGGGCCTGGGCACTGTCCCTCAGCTCTTCAGCTCAAGGATAATGCTCTACCACTTGAGCCACAGTGCCACTTCCGGCTTTTTTTTCGGCTTATGTGGTGCTGAGGAATCGAACCCAGGGCCTCATGCATGCAAGGCAAGCGCTCTACCACTGAGCCACCTTCCCAGCCCAGCATTGCCGATCTTTGAGTCACATAAGAGCAAGAGAAGCTACAGGATTTCTGTGCATTTTCCCCTGGTCCTGTTCTCAGCAGCACAACTCATGCTAACCAAAAGTTGGACATGGCCTGATGTCTGCAGATAGATCACTGTAAGTGGTGTGTGTGGCCTTCTTTATTTTTCATATTGGGGTCTGAACTCTGGGTCTCTTGCTGGCCAGGCAGGTGCTCTTAACACTTGGATCACTTAGCCAGTCCCTTTATAGGTTGGTTAATTTGCAGATAGGATCTTGCCTTATGAGGCCAGCCTGTTCTGTGATCCTCCTGTTTGTATCTCTCTTGTCCCTGTGTATTACAGGCATTCACTACTGTCCACAGGCACTCAATACCCACCCCACCCCACCCCCCCAGGCTGGGATGACAGCCGT